ACTGTAACCCAGAGGTCAGGTGCTGTCCAGCAGTAAGCTCCATGAACGCATTAGTTTCCATACAAGCTGGCACATACATTGCTCTACAGCTCTGAATTGCAACATGCCCAGGGGCCCTATTTTTAGAGCATTTTCGTGGAAGTCACCTGTAATTTTGCTTCAGCTCAAAGACAGCATTTAGGCACAATGGTTTCCCACTGGCTGGGAGCTATGTCACCCTGAGAGGTTATCCTGAGATGTATGACCAAGGTGTATACTGCATCTGCAGGCATGCAGAGCCCAGGCAACCTGCTGGTGCAATGCAGTTGGAGCTCTTACAGAATCCCGGACTGGTTTGGGTTGGAAGGGAGCTTAAAGCTCATCCAGTTCCAACCCCCTGCCACAGGCAGGGACACCTTCCACTAGAGCAGGGTGCTTCAAGCCCTGTCTAACCTGGCCTTGAACACTGCCAGGGATGGGGCAGCCACAGCTTCTCTGGGCACCCTGTGCCAGCTCCTCAGTGCTCTCACAGGAAAGAACTTTTCCCTTATACATAACCTAAATCTCTCCTGTTTAAGTTTGAACTTGATGGCAGGTCCCTGTCTTCTGAGCTGAAAGGGAGAGCCCTCTGAGCGCACAGCATGCAGACCAACCCAAACACTCTTGGTTTAGATGTGTGGTGACAAGACTGCTCCCACACTTATTTCCACAGGGAAGGGAAGAGCCAGGAGGGAGCTTAAAGATGCTGTATCTCTGTCTGATGAGGCTGGCTGTTCAAACTAAAAGTGCAGAGAGCGGGTTGGAAGTGGTGAGCTGTGTTGAGGGAGAGTTTGGACTTCATGGAGAATGTTAAAAATTCAAAGCAGAGCTGCTGGCAAGTGGTGGCTGTTGAAGCAGAGAAAAGGAATGAGCAGAAGCCTGGCAGGAGGAGCGGGATGAGGATAATCATCTCTTGGAGGAAGCTAATGGGGCACAGGGGAGGGTGAGTGTGAGAGGTGGGTGTCAGGAGACATGGTGCAACTCTGTGGGCATGTGATGGTGTCAAGGAGAAAACAGTCTGTATGAGCCCGGGGTGGACCAGGAGGTGCTGAGGAGCAGGGTCCATCTCTGTTCACACTGTTAGTCATTGCCATTGTGCTGCGTAGCAGTGTTTCTTTGCTTTGGTGAGGGGCACTAGGAGTTAAATCTGCCATTTTAAATGTAAAATGGGTTGAAATCCCCTAGGAATGGGTGTGCATTGCCCCATGAGGAGGACCTATAGGGATGCAGGGATGGCTGTGTGCAGAGGCCACCCAGGGTGGGCTACACCCTTGCTGAACAGGAGCACAAAGGCAGAAGCAACCCAAGAAATAAGAGTGACAGACTTCGGAGGCCACTGGAATGTTCAAAGGTTGGGACTTTGTGGGAGGGCTTTGTGATTCCTATGATGGGTGAAGGGCTCTGGCCGTCTGCTCCCTGTCCCAACAAATGGGTGTGCAGTAATTTATCCCTGAGGTCAGGATTATTGGGAACAAGGAGATGAGATGTGCTGTGCCTTCCACCCTGGAGGGAGTACAGCAAGTGGCCAGTTCAGGATGGGACTTTCCAAGGGTGATTCTGAAGGTGTCTGCATCCAAAATGCTCCTTTCACACTTTCCTGATTCTGAAACAATTTCAAATTTGAAGGCGAATAACCTTAAAACAGAAAAGTGAAACTTCCCATTGGAGAGAAGTTTGACTTCTGGGCTTGCACTAGGACAGAACAATTGTCTCTTTGGCTGGATGCTCCCTCTGGAGCTTCAGGGCAGGCCAGCCAAGCTCTGTCTTCTTTTGCCCTCCCTGGATGCTATGAGCCAGCAGAGCAGCGGTCCTGCTAGCACTCGCTGTGCTAAGCTTGCTCCCCTGTCTTGCTGCAAGCTTTCCAAGCATGAAACTTGAAACGACTTTAGCCAGTGAATTTCAACGCACTGCAAATGTGCAGTTATTCCTTTTTTTAACTTTTGGGGTTTTTTGAACAATCTAAAAAAAAAAAAAACAACCCATGATTTCATTGGTTTCCTGAAAACGTTGTGGGTGTTGTTTTTGTTCTCTTTCTTGTTGGCAATTGGGTGACCTATGAAATCCCATAACCAGCACAAAATGTTTATCCAGTGACAGCCTGAGGTAGCACAGGCAGCTCTTAGCGGGTTTATTTTCATTATTACAGCAATTTTAGGGCTGCATGCTGCAATTTTCACTTGCAGTGAGGTATTAAATTGAAATTACCCCAGATGTAATTGTCACACAAAATAATTCTGGACATGCTGGATTTAATGCTTTTCCAAGCTGTGGGTTTTATTACCCAAGCAAGTGCCAAAAAAACACTTGTAGTCAACAACTTAAGCTGAAATCTGCCTTCTGGGGAGGCAGGATGTTTAGCTGCAGTTACACTGAGAGAGGAAGGAAAAAAAAAAACTCGGGGACCAACTATAGGAAACTTTGGGATAGCTTCTGAAAGATGGGCCCAGGGATAAAATCCTTGTCAAGGGCAGAGCCAGGGCCGCATAGGGACCCTGGAGGAGCCCTGGCAGACGCAGCAGCTCAGCCTAACCCATTTTGGGCTGGTTTTAGGAGAGGTGAGTCCCACTTCTGGTGCAGTGCTAGCTGCAGAGGTGAATAAGGCTTGTGGGGGCAGCCGTGTCCCTGCCTGCTCTGTAGCAGCAGTGCAGTCATGGATCCCACCTTTGGGATGCTACAGAAATGAATGAGTTGCAGAGCCAGTGACCCAGCTCTGGAGGTGCTTATACATGACATCTCAGTGTTTCCCACATGTACATCGCCTGGGTAGGCTGAGCTGGTGCACAGAAACCTAGACTTCCAAAAGCACATGAGGAGCCTTCATGGCAACCAGCAAGCGGTATCCCCAGCACTCCTTCTGGTGGGTGATACAGCACACATCCACTACAGCCTTAATTATTGGCTCCTTAACTATTGTAATAGCATAAGTAAAGTATTGATAGCTTTGTATTTTCCACCCTCTTTCATTCTTTTCCAGAAATAACTTCCCTTGTTTGCTCCACAGACACCCCTGCTGATGTTGCGCTGGAAGTGGGTGGAAGGATGCGCATCTGCGAACAGTTAGGAGATAATGGTGTATAAATAGCTCAGGGAGAGCAATTGTTGTAGTCTGTCCCTGCAGCTCCACAAAGCAAGCGAGATCTGAGGCTGAGCGTGGCAAAAAAAAGGCACAGAGCAGCAGCAGCTTCTTTCTCATCATATTGTGCTGGGAAAGCTCAGCTGAAGTTGGTTATTAGATGATGTAAGGGAGCACAGTGACCCAGATGAGCAGCTCAGGGCATGACCTGGTGCTGCTTAGTTATTCTGAAACCCTCTACTTACAGCATCCCTGATGCAACTTTGATGAATGAGGGTGTTGACGCACAGGGCAATGTTACTGAATTTCCTCCTGCATATGGAGTAGCTGTGCAACTTTGGTGTCCTTTGTGGATGCACCTAGAATTAGAATTGGTTCAGCAATGAATTTCTAGGGTTGGTAACTATGCTGAAAGTACAAGGTAGTAGTGAGACATCTGCTTTGTCAAGTTGAGACAGGATTTGGGTAAGGTTTTGAGTGAAACAGTGAGGAAAAGCAGCAACTGATTCAGCTTGCAAATATTTTGTCCCACCTCAGATGTCATTTTTTTCTTACCTTTGGAATCATTTCACCTGTTGCACACTTTCTTTTCATTAAGTTCACTTTGTGAATAATCATAAATGCAATTTCAAAATGAAAAGGTGAAAAATTCTTGTTAAAAAGAATACCTCAAGCATTTTGTTATTTCTGAGGTGCAACGTGCCTTGCTGCTGTCATAAACCAGCAACATCTGGCTACTCTTACTTGCTTTCTCCTCTCCATCCCCAGCTTAACGTTTCTGTCTATTATCACTTCACCTTGAAGATACTGTGGTCCAGAGCTCCGGGGGAGAAAAGCGATAGTTTGTTGAAAGATGGGTTTCTCAGTCCTCTTCACTGCTTCACTTGAGGGTGGTAGTGGTAGCACCTGGGCAGTGACATGAGAGTAGGCAAGTGGAATGTGGATGGGAAGGGATATGATGGCTAGGATGGAGAGCTCCTCAGGCTGGTGCCCTCCTGCCACTGGTCTGTCATCTTAAGGCTATCGCACGGACTGAGAGGGAGCTGGAAAGAGCAGGACAGTTGTAAGAGATGTATATGGATTTCCTGAGGTAGGATTATGCTGGCTTTGATCTTTAAAAACCACAAATTTTATCATCTAAAGGTCAAAGTAATTACAGAGTCTATGTTTCCTCTTGGAATGAGGCAGCAGGGGCTGTGGCTGCAGCAGTGGTTTCTCACCTTCTGCAGGCTGGCTTGGAAAGTGTTAAATGCCAATTTTCCCTGTTGTCAGGTTGTGCTATTAAGACAGAATGAATAAGGAAACAATCAGTCTAGGAGCAGGACTTGACTCACCTTGCAGCTGGCTAGTGGAAGTTGCTGCCTCGGGAGGCAAGAGTGAGGTGACTTGGAGCTGGAGCTGCAATGATGCTCTCAGCTCTGCTGGTGGCACCAGCTGGGTGGGTGCTTAGGCCCCTGCCTCAGTTTAAGAAGCAAAACCTCATCACACTAAACCAGTACATCTGGGATGACACCTAAAGCCCCAGGAAGCTCACAAACCCACCAAGGCAGCTGGCCTTTTGCAAGCACATCACCCATGCCTGACTTTTGCCATGAAGGGCCCATTTCTGATCCCATTCTGCTAATGTCAGTGGGGAGTATCTGCTTAAGGTGGCATTGCCCTTGCTAATATGAAAAAGGAGGACCTTTATCTTCCCACTGCCTCTTGGTGGGGTGGCTGGTGGCACCAGGAAGGTATGCTAGCTGGGAAGCAACATTAAAGGGCTGCAAGCTGAGTGCCTCCTTTCTCTTCCCTTCCTGTTAATGACAGCTAAGCTCCTTGCTGCTTCAAGCCTCAGTGATTTACCTGGCAGGTTCTGGACTCCTTCGGAAAGGATTCATGCATCCTTTTCCTCTTTGTCCCTCTCCAGGTGTACGACACTGCACTACCGCCAGGACCTCCCATCCACCAGTGTCATCATCACCTTCCACAATGAGGCCAGGTCAACCCTGCTAAGGACGATTCGGAGGTAAGAGCTCCCAGTCTCCTCTTAAAGAAGGGTGAAGTGGGCTTTTGTCAATAAAGGGAGAATGCGTCTGCACTCCCAGCAGCAATGGGATCAGACCTACCAGCTATGGTCTCAGATGATTACGTGAAAGCTGGTCTCTGAGATATAGGTTTTACATTGGGATGCTCAGGAAAGTAAGTAGTTGTGTTCCCTTTGCAGGGACTAGCATGGGACACTCTTGAGGGAGCAGCAGAAGATTAGACAGAGCCTGGAATAAGAGGTTTTACATCAGCTGGGTGTCAGTGCTCAGCTGTATTTGTTCCCAGTCCTCTAGGGACAGCTATTATTCCACAGATGTCTGCTCTGGTAGTGCCGTTTGAGCTTCTCCAGTGACCCATCGAGTGCCAGAAAGACTTGTTAATTGAGAAGCCCTAATGGTGCACACGCAGGCTAGATATTCAAGGACATTTTGTGTACTCCTCTGGATACACGGTGGAGTGCTCTGGGCATGTGGCCATTCCTTCATCTGTTGCTTTGTTCTTGGCTGTGTTTTGCTGTAGTGGATAGACTAAAGACTTAATTTTCACCACAGGTTTTTGAAATCAGTGTTTAATCTCCATGTGCGCCTTGAATCAAGTTCTCTTGTAGGAAGATATTGTGAAGTGTCCACTACACATTTGAGGGTCTATCTACAGGTCTCTGCTGGTGGGTTCTTCTGCAGCGAGCTTGGGTGCTTTCTACTCTGTGCCCTCAATAAGTGTTTTGGAGATGTGTCTCATGCTCACGTAGGGAAGGTTTGTGCTCTGCTGCAAGCCTTGTTGGCTAAGCCCTGGCAGCCTCGGGGACCATTTGCCATTGCTGGTAGTGGTAGCACTGGTGTTGCTGGCTGAAGGGAGTGGGGAGGTCTCAGCTGTGCCCTATTCATCATCAGGTTTTCACCGGGCTCTTCCTTGAAAACAGCATCCTTCCTCAGGTGAATGCACCCAGTGCCACAAGTGACTTTGACAGTCCTGAAATTGAATTCCTGCTTTACTTTATGGTTTCATGCCCAATCCCATCTCCTTCACTTCACGCTTAATAATCTGTCACCACTTTCTCTCTCTAGAGTGCATGGATTTTGGGTGTGCATAGCACTGATGCTTAGTGCTGTGTACCACCTCCTTCGTCCTGGACCTTCTCTTTTATCTTTACAATGCCTTGCATAGGTTTACCATTGTAACGGAGGTCGCAAGGCAAAGCCAAGTACTCTGCCCCTGAGATACAGGATGCTTATAACATGTAACGTGCAGAGTCGGACTTTAATCTCATTTCTCCATAACTTAGCACTTGACTGTCCTGGCATTACAAGTGTTACATGAGAAATGTTAGACCTGTGATATGGCTCTTATACCTGGATCCCCCATATCTGGCTTCATTAAACAGTTGTTCACTAAAATAATGGTAAAGTTAAAAATAAAATCAAAGTTAGTTAGAATATTTCCTTCTTCCTAGAGGATATAATCCTCTGAAGTGTGTGATTTCCAGCTATAAAAAGACTTGCTTCCTTGTTCCTCTTCTTGGTTGACTTCATTAGTTGGCCCTGCTGCCTTCCGTACCTGGTTGCATGCGATTTCCACCACAACTTTGCCCCCATGCACTGTTCCTCAAAATTCACCTGCTCCAGCAGTTCCAACAACCATGTTTTATCTGTGGGGAGGTGTTCCCCAGCTCTGGGGCCCTTTCTGAGCCATCTTTCCTGTAGGCTTATCTCTAGACAGTGACAGAGTACTGCGGAACATCCCATTGAGCTGCACTGCAGGGGCAAGCCCAGGCAGTGAGGACCTGAGATGACAACCTTGTCATGATGTCGCTATCTCCCCTGCCTCTCCCTGGGCTAAGAACCTGAGCTCTCCTGAGCTGATCCTACTTTTTCTGGTCCTCAGTTTGGAAGTGGCTTCCTGGTGCCAGGGTTCAACGTTTTCCTCCTGGATGCAGTATTTATAAACTTGTTTTCGATCCAACCAGCCATAGGGGTACCAGCCCTTGGTGGCAAGTTGTGCTGGTGATGTGGTTTCTACTCTGCTCCTCTCTCTGGCCACGATAGGGCATGTATTGCCACCTCTCTGACTGTTTTTGGACCCAGCTGAGAGCTCATCTGCCTCTTCAGCCTGTGTAGGTTAATTTGCTGTGCCTTCTGACTGCTCTGTTTTTTCCCTCTCCTTATTTAGCAAAATGGTTAGTTTTATTAGATCTTCCAGATAACTCCGTCCCATGGTGGCTGTAACAACATGGATCATTTTCCATGGACATTGGAAAAAAACCTCTGTCCTCCTGATACTGCTTTGTGCCTTTTGGTGCAGTGTGTGGCCAAGTGTCTCTAAGCACATTTAGCATGGCAGTGAGTGAAATGGGATTCTCTACCCTGTTCTTCCCAGTACATCTCCACAGCACACTCTTGCCATAACCCAGGTGACAGATGGTCTGAGGAACAGAGAGGTGATTTGTCTGTGGCTGGTGGTGGATGTGCAGTCCCTGGAGATATTCAAGGCCAGACTGAGTGTGATTCTGAACAACCTGATCTAGTTGAAGATGTCCCTGCTCATTGCATGGGGTTGGACTTTGAAGATCCCTTCCAACCCAAACTGTTCTATGATTCTATAAGATCTTGGGTTGCAAACCTGGTTTCCTGAGTTCCAGTAAGTCATGTTTTCCAGCCTCATTGCAAAATGAATATTCTTATTCAGGAGCAAGAAACTGGGCAAAGGGGCATTGCTTGGTCTTACAGGACACCGTGGATGAGTGGCAGAGGGAAATGCTGGTGAAGGCACCTGTTAGCAGGGGAAGAGATCAGCTCTGGCAGAAGGGGCCACTTACATGTGGAGCAGGAGGGATTTTGCTGTTCCTACCATTTTTCTAGGTGCTTGAGAGCTTTAACGCTCACTGAGCATCAAACCTGAGCTGTTTTACAGGCTCAGTATGTTGCATGTGGCTCTTGGTCAGGATGTGATTGCTCTGACCCATGAAGCAGAGGCACAAGCATGAGGCCTCCACAGCACCCCTTACACAAGTTACTTTGGGAGCGTTTGGGATGGTTCGTTTATGAGCAGTTTGCATCATCAGAGCTATTGAGTAAAGCTCCTGGACTGTGTTGAATAATGAATTAAGTTTCATAATCTTTTCTCTGACCATTTGCCAGCTGGAAAAAAAAGGATGGGGGGGGGAAGCTATATTAGTTGAATGCCCAAATGTCTACAGATGATGTAGTCAGCATTTATAAATGTGGATATAACTATGCTTGTGAATACATACAATAGTGCAGGTAAATAAGGGATAGGTGTCATGAGAAAGGGAAATAGAAAATGAAAGAAGAGGTCAAAAAGGTGAATATCAAAGTAGCTCTTGAGATTATCTTATTATGCAGACAGTGAAGAAACTACCATTGGGTTGTTGTTTCAGCCTTTCCAAATTACCTTGGGCAAGTTTTTTACACACCCCCCCCCCCCATGGCTTGGTTTCACCTACTTCAAGCTCCAAGGCTCAGTGCATTAGAGACAATGAGAGTCTTCAATCGTCTAGGGGGACCAAATGAGTAAACCTAAGGAGGGAAGGCAGGACAAGGGAGAGAATGAGCAATACAATTTCCTCTTTCTTTTTTTTCCATCTTGTGTTAGCATGGATTTAGGAAGGGAAACCAGCTCCTTGCCCAGCTTTGGCTTCCCAGCTCCTCCAGAGGGAGAACTTAAGGATGCCCCCAGGGCTATAGCAGTCACTGGAGGAGGAGGAGGAACAGTGTGGCTGGGAAAGATGCACTCCTCTTCACCTTGGCTGGGCTGCATGCTGGGACAGTAATGGGTAATAGTGCCTCCCCATCTCATTACCCATTTGGTAGGGAGATCTACTCCATAGCTTGCCTATGAAAATATCATCTCCTTTCCTTTGCTGTCCCTTCTCTGCAGGCATCGGCATGCTCACATGCCGAGATGTGGCCAATACTGGGTGATCAGTTGTGCTTTCAGGGCTGGATGCCATGTGTTGTCTGCTGCTGAGGTCTGCAGGGAGCAAGGCTGGGTGTTTGTTACATCCCTGGAAGCATCCCTGGGAGCAGCAGGGAGAAAAACACTGCCTGCCCTGGAGGCAGGGCTGGGGGAGGCAGAACTGCAGGTAGGCAGGCAGGGGTGATGCTCTGCTCCTGACTACCAGTGACCACCATGCTGTGACTTTCTCCAGCTGGGTGGTGTTGGAAGCATGGTGGCCTGTCAGCACTGGCACAGGCTGGGCAGGAGAGGAGTGTAGGAGGCAGAGGGTGAGACAGTCCTTTTCACTCTGCTCACTGGTCTTTATTTATTCTTCAAACTTGCAGCTGGGCTGGGAAGCACAGAGGAGGAATAAGGAAACTTAATTATCCACCTCTCGCTGACAAACCAAAACACATCCTTTGGCAAAAGTCCTGATGCGAGTGCTGTGAATGCCACATCAAATATTTAGAACATTAATTAGCAGAGAGAGTATCATGCCTTTCATTTTCTGGTGCTTATAAGTGAGAGAAGTGACGTCCTAGACAGCCAGCACCTCACACCTTCCCCTTTGCAGATGTCTGCATCCACGCACATCTGAGAAAGGGGAATGACAAAGCCGCACACCTCCTTCCTTAGGCAGCAGCAGTACCATATAGAGTCTGTGCCATAACTGAAACGAGCCTGATTAAAGAAGCAAAAACAAGCCAGGTGTTGTGCAGAAACTGTATAATTAGCACTTTGTGCTGACTATTTTTTTATTTCTTTCTTTTTTGCTTAAACCCTGGACTTTTTTTCTCTTCTTAATTTGCTAATCATCTCTCGTGGTGGCTGAGTACAGAGCCCTCCATGCGCTTTTACCTTTTGATGTTAACATAAGAGAACTCTTGAATTTCAAAGAGCTTGGTGGGTATTTGAAAGAATAAAATGCGAAAGCCGCAGTGTAATCAAAGCTCATTATGGTTATTCTTGGTGTGATGCCTCTCTTCCTACATAATTAGCCATTTTGGGTTGTTGAAGCAGTTCTTTTTGGCGGGCATTTTCTCTCTGCGCGCTCGGTCTGATTTCAGTAATTGTGACCTTTGTCCCTTTTGCTAGTTTATTATACTCCCAAAGATGGTTTTTTATCCCTAACAAGGCCCAGTATGTTGCCATAGAGAGAATTACTGGGTTCATGGGTCCCAAGGACTCACGTCCGCAGTCACTTCTACAAAGCAACCCGTATTCTGGGTGATGACCAAAACCATACCAGTCTTCAGCCAGAAGGTGACTTTTGCACTGGTCTAGATATTTCATTAATAAGCATCATCCATGCTCCCTGTTGTTTATCTTGCTTGGGAGAAAAGGGAACCTGCCCTGTACATAAAGAAAGAGGGCTTTATGGGATGTACGTAAATTATGTGTACACGTGTGCCATATAATACAGTGTGTTACAGGTAGTGGCAGTGATTATCTGTCATAGTAGAATTAACTACTTGGCTTTAATTATAGGTTCTGACACTTCAGATGCTGATTTTTTTCTTGGGATGGCTGGATGGGGCTTGGAGCAACCTGGTCTAGTGGAAAGTATCCCTGCCCATGGCAGGGGGGTGGAACTGGATGAGCTGTAAGGTCCCTTCCAGCCCAAACCATTCTATGGTTCTATGATTTATTTAGAGGTGAAATTGCTGGATCCAATGCTTACCTTCTGGTAGGTGGAAAAGGATCCCAACAAATTGTTGAGGAGGACAGAAAAAGGACCTTACTATGAAATTCTCCATGTCTGCATCTTCATAACGTCTGGTAAATCCAGTGAAACACAGAAAATTTCAGCATTAACTTTTCAAGATAATTCAGCAGTGAATCTGATCTTAATGGGTTGAGTAAGCGTAAGCGCTTTCTGTACTAGAGGCATGAGTTTTCATTTCAATGGTAGCAGGTCTTTTGGCAATTTAAAGGAGAAAGCATTGTGATCTCTGGCTTAACAGAACTTAAAAGCTGGTTTGATATGTTAAAACACGCCCATCACTGCAGTATATCTACCTATGTTTGATTTCAGGGGAAAAAAGTCTATAAATAACAGAAGGACTTCAAAGCACTATAATATTGTCTTCTGATTTTACCAATATAATGGGGAAAAAAGAGCCATGTACACACATATGAAAGAAAAGAAAATGTAATAAAAAAATCAAAGCTGAGCGAAGGCACAAGTAATAGAAAAGCTGCCTTTGAATTGCTAAAAGTGCTTTTATAGTCTATCTGGAAAAGAAAAGGAAAAACTCTCTGACATTACAGGGACTTGCAGGACTTGGTGCCTCTGTTTCCCATCCTCTCTGAGGGGTGCTGCAGGAGGGGTATTGATAACCTCCTGTGTTTCCAGTGGCCTCGGTGTGTTACAGTGTGACTGATAGAGCTCAGGTACAAAATGCATTGGAGGTGTGAGTTTGGTTTTGCTGAAAAGCTGGCACCCTTGCTCTGGCTGCGTTGGGAGGTTGGCTGCAGTCATGGTTTTCACCCTTTGTTGTGGATCAGTTTGTGCCTGCATCAAGTGGCCCAGAGCTTTGCTGTAATCTGGGGGCTTTCAGGTGTCTGTGCACAGACGTGTAAGGGCTATAATGAGCTCAAAGCCCGCTGGAAACAGTGGGCATTGGGTCCCTTAGAGCTGTAGTGAGCCCAGCCTTTGGACCATCCTCACCAGGGCTGTAGTGGTACAGGGGGAGGCTGCTCACAGTTCCAGGGGATTCTGCATCACCCGTGGTAGTGTCCATCATTAACCCCATGGAAGAACGGGGTTCATGGAGCCAGAGCAGACAGTGGACACATCCTTTGCTTGTCAGACAGTGTGCTGACTTTTTCTCCCTTTCTCTGGTCACCCCTCTGCCTCCCACTGATGGCCATCATTGGCATCAGGGGACATCATCCCTGGTTTACGGAGTGGCAAGCATAGGCACAGAGTTGACAGCAAACTGCTTGACCTGGGAACAGTGGGATCCTGCAGGTGAGCTGAGGCTGGGCTGCACATCTCCCCAGCCCAGCGCCTTGAAAACCATCCATGCTGGAGTTTCTTCCATAAGAGGTGGCCTGAGGGGAATTCCTCTAAAGCACTGAGAACTGCTTAGAGCCTAGGTCTACAGCCCAGTGCAGTGGGTTTAGCTTCTTGCTGTTACCAGCAAAAGCAGATACAGCCCCTTTGTAACCACCTCCCTTTTGTAGAGTTAAGCCCTGCGTTGCATTTCTGGCAGCTGAATCTATAGGAGAGACAAGGTGGAGGCAGGCTTTGAATATTCAAGCTGCCCGCTGCCTCCCCGCTCCTGCTCTCAGTGGGTTATTTATTTATTTTGCTGGCTTTTTCACAAGCCTGCTTCTTTCCTGCAGGTTTCACCAAGTTGGGTTTCCAGGCAATCAGCACTTGTTAAATATTCCACTGAGCATGATATTGCTCTCCTGTCTCTCCGTACTGACGCTTAGCTGCAGCAATTTGCTGAACTCAGCTCTCACATACGGGGATTTTCTTTAAAAATAACAAACCTATTAATAATAATAATTAAAAATCCACTCGACAGGTATGAACAGCACATCTAAGTTGTTCTGTGTGCCTCAGCGGGAGCAGGGGGTGCAGCTATTTTTCCCAATACTTGGAGCAGGCAGCGGGTGCTGGTGAGGCAGTGTTGTCTCACTCTGCCTTAGTGATGCTGGGGTGGCCACAGAAGCTCCGGGATGTAGGGCTCTCACCACGATTATTGCTTAGGGGACAGCAGCTTTCTTTTCCTCTCCACCCCGACCTTAGCATGCAAGGCACCTGAAGTAGGGGAAAACCATGGCTTTTGCCAAGATCCTGAAGCTGGAGGAGGCAGGGATTGTGTTTCCAGGCAAAGTGATTCTTGGAAGTGGTTTTTGAGGAGCTCCACAAGGCAGCTGCCAGCCTTACCCACTCCAGTCTAAGATAAAATCCTCTTTTATTCAGATCTCTGCTGAGAACTAAAAACAAGCAAAGAAAGAAAAAAATACCTTGGAGAGAGGATCAGTTTTCATCATCTGCCATCGGATGTCCTGTTCTCCTTCCAAAGAAATCCAGCTCAACTCTTTTTCACTGGAGGGTTGTAATCACAGCACTGATGTGGTAGAGGTACACCAGCACAGGCAGCAGGTACCTGGCAATAGGCACAGATACTCCAAGGGTTGTGGGGGCTCATGGTTTTCCATCAAGAAGGTTTCATAGGAGTTATGCAGCCCTTTGGCTGAATGGCCTGAGGTATCTGTGGGTGATGCCATGAGACCCCTCCTGGTTCCTGCCTGCTGGGCTCGTGCCTCCGGAGCATCCAGGTCCTCCAGAGATGCTGCCCTTTGGAGCTCTCTTAACTGGGGTCTGGGCCAGTGATGTGGTTTTCCCAGACTTCCAGGCTTTTTGCTGGAGTTCTGGGAGCCTGGGAACTCAGGGAAACCTGTCCATAAGGAGCTGGAGGTATTAGGGGCTTCGGGTTAGCTTGCGGGGTGTCTGCCCTCTCGTGCCAATGGCAGGTTTGAAGGTTTTATCTAACCCAGACCAGAAGGCAGATTCAGGTGTGAAATTTGGGGGGTATTTTAAATCTCGTGTGAAAAAGGAACCACTTTCATGACGAAGGCTGGAAAAGCCTGTACAACCCAACTGGCATTACCAAAGCCCAGGTCAAGCATTTAGGAGATTTTGGGGCTGCCCTGAGGTTTCTGCATCAAGAAATCAGCCTCGACCCTTTGCTGGGTGCTGGGGCAGGACTTCAAGCACGTGTAATTCTGGTGACCTCTGCGCCGTGCAAGAAGAGGAGAGAACAGCTCTAGATTCTTTAATAATGATAATAATAAAAAAAAAACACCCTTGGGGGCATAATTAAAGGAAGATTGTGGCTTGCAGCCACATTTCACAGTGTCTGTCCATCTGGAGGGAGCTGCGATCCACATCCTCTCTTTCATTAAATAGGTGGCCTCCAACCCTGCTCTTATCCTCTTGGCAGTGTCTGCAACGCAATCAGCTCACACATAAAAACAGGAGTTGTCCAACCACAGCTGTGAGCTCTGTAAAGATGGGTTTGAGCTGGGTAATTTTCTCTGTGTTGGCAGACACCTTATCATTAGCTGCGGGAGAGGTGGCGAAGTGACAGCAGCTTTGCTGTAAAGCCCCGTTAGGAAACTTGGAGTAATGTGCATGTTGCAGTGTCTCCTGGCTTTATGTGGTGCTCTGCTTTTGCTCACAAAGGTAGTAAGGGGAATCTCAGCTATTACTGGGCACTTGGCTCTTTGGTCAGTCTTAGGGAACTCGTAGTCGGGCACTGTAGGTTACTGGGAGGTGGTGGGGGCTGGTTTCTGGGTGTTACCTAGTATATCCTTTCTGGAAATCCAAGCCTGGTCTTCTGTGCTTTGGCAGGTATCAGTTCTGAGGCTTTTCCACCCCATTTGGCTGGGTTGTTGAGTTGGTCAAGCACTGTCATGGATTTTCTCTCTTCATTCTTTAGTGTGCTGAACCGCACCCCAGTGCACCTCGTCCATGAAATCATACTAGTGGATGACTTCAGTGATGATCGTAAGTGACCCTTTCTATCTCAAAAGCGAGGGGGCAAACCGAAAGAGCCTGTGAGAGTGGGATTTATACAGAGAGGGGGGAGAATTTGTTGGAATGGAAGCAAATGGAACACTCTGTAGGTGTGGAGAGTAAGGTTTGCACTGCCATGCGGAGAATTCAAATTCCAAGCGATCAGACCTCTTCTCATGAAAGTCACACAAGAAAAGCACATGGCAAATGACTTTTATGCCCAGTAGACATGATCCAATCCTGACTGTCGTATCCTACCACAGCCATAGTGTCCTTGATCTTGTTTTCAGCTGCAGCCAGGAGCAATTCTGGGTTGACCACACTGGGACTGCACAGGATAATGGTAGTCTGACCCTCTTGATGTATGCGTATGTTCTGCATACATTTACGTAGGTGGCCAGCAACTCTTGATTTCTTCTTCGCCCTCTTTTCACCCATGTAAAGAGGATTTCCTGTGTGGGTTGCCAACTTCTGAGATAGTGCTACATAAATAGCACTGTACACCACAGACAGCCCACGTCCTCCTGCCATTCCCTCCTGGTTAATAGCATCACTCAGCTGAAATCAATAGGCCTGATCTCCAGCAGAAGTCAGTATCTGAAGCCCCGGGGAACCACCCCAGCTAAAGGTCGCGCCCAGTGATGTGGGCAAGTGGAAGATGTGCTTGAGAGTAAGTGCTCAAGAAACTTCTCAGGTATAAAAAAGATGATAAAATACACCTAGGCTGAGCGGTTCAGGGCACTTCCATTTCAAGAAGCTGCGAAATGTAATCCTTTACTAGGAAACGTGAAAACAAAGCCAGAGCTACGCATTACCCTTGGATATTATAAATAGGCAGTGCCTTGGAGACCATTAGGGACAGATTTCACACGAGACCCACTTCTCAGCATCAACACCTCCCTGGGAAGGCGCTGAAGCCACGGGAAGGGGCTGCAAGCATTATGGTGAGCTTTGGAGTGACTCCAGTGCGCAGAGGCCAGGATAGGCAAGTCTGGGAAGGTGCAGAATGGAGTAAAGAAGGAACAAGGGCTCGAGCTGCCCTGGCATACAGCAGAGCTGGCCTTTTGATGGGTGAAGGGAGTAAATACCTGGTGTTTGGCTAAATAGACAAAGCATTTGCCTTCCTGAATGGAGAAAGGTTTGTGGGAGTGCAGCTCCCCTCTTCCTCGGTGGCATGTGCTGGGGAGAAGGAGCAGGGCTGGGTTTAAACTCATCCCAGGGCACCAGTGGGGAGCCTGTGTCTCATGTAACTTAGAGCAGCCCCTTGGCTATTGAAATCAGTGCTTCTCAGCTGTCTTACGTCTTCTTTCCTGTGATAGCCAGAGTCTGCTGGCATCTATTATGCATGCATTTACATAAAACACAGGTATTTGCATAATATGCTATTCACACATGGTCAGTTATTTCCCTGCAACCCAAGCAATCGGTGCTTTTATACCATACCCAGTTGTGTCTTGTTTCTCACTTCTCTGTGCCTGCTGACCTCTTATTTGCTGGGATGCAGATGTTCTACATGCGGGTTCCCACTATTCGCAGCAAATTTACATTTTAGGTCTGTAGCCAGCCCCTGCCACTTCTGCTCCTTTGGTGTGCACACAGCAACATAGGTCTGTACCTGTGTTGTAAGGGATGTGGATGCGCTGGTGCCTCTTACCCACAAAGATTGATGGAGGGGATGAAAGTGCTCGGAGGTGTGTGTGGGCACAGGGGGTGAGCACAGGGGAAGGGACACATGCGTGTGTTTGTGGTGCTGAGGAAGAAGAGTGGTGGGAGGCGTGATGGGGATGTGGAGGTCACAGCTTGGGTGTGCGGAGGTAGAGGTGGCTCTGATGGGTGCAACTACCTGCAGACCCAGCTCTGGCATCCTCCAGCTTGCTGGGAGAAATCTGGGTGAGGAGGGATGCTGGGGTTGCAGGAGGCACCAGGGTAAGAGCAATGGCAGCAACTGTATGTGGGATTACAGGACCAAACTAGCCCAGATTTGAGTAGTTGTTGGGCCTTTCTGCCCCATGGACCCGCTGCCTAGGGCATGCGGAGCCCCCAGCCAACCCACAGAACTCTCTTTGACCATCCCTTTCTCTTCACTGAGTGCTCACAGGCCACCTCAGGAAGCTCCTGTCCCACCAGGCACACATGTATCACACAGCTTTGCATTGCTTTGCAGCTACTAAAAATAATGATTTGCATTAATGTGCAAAAAGTCAGATTCTGACCCCAACTACAGTTCTTCTACTCTGATTTTACAGAGTAATTCAGTGAATCTGCTGGGTTTTCACTGGTTCAATGAAAACTGCTGCTGTGCCAGTGCTGATTTACGTAGCATGAGCTGAGGGGTAAGGCTGTTGTGCCCCAGCAGTGCCATCACCCTAATAAACCATCAGGCAGTGTGGGATGGGGTCCTCTCCCTGCTGCCAATCTCCCCTAGGACCAGGCAGAGCCACCACGAGGGCTGAGGGTGACGTGTCCTCCCTTTGTGTTTCCCAAGCTGATGACTGCCGCTTGCTGTGCAAGCTCCCCAAGGTGAAGTGCTTGCGGAACGGACGGCGAGAAGGTAAGAGCTGGAGCCATGGGGGACCTCCATGGAATGGGTGACAAGGGTGGTTAGTGGCTCCTGCAATGCGCAGGGGGCTGATAAAAGGAAATGTGATAAAGGGCTGGGATTTGAAATGAATCCCCCCCCCTCTTTCACTGGAGAAGATGGGATATTAAGATATCCAGTGAGGCTCAGCTGTAGCTTATTAGCTAGAAAATTAGAACAGGCAAAACAAAGCCCCAGGTCTTATGCTTAAAGATGTTTGCTCTGATGAAGGAGACGAGATCTGCTCCTGCTGCTTCTCTGACTTTTTTTGTTGGGTTTTTGTTTTGGGTTTTTTTCAATAACTAATTATATTTGAAAGATTAAGAAGGGCTCTATGGAGGATGAATGTGTGTCCTGCTGGGCTGCTGCTGGCAGCCTTGTGAGACGTTTTCCAGCTGTCCATAGTCTGAATGGGTATTTTCAAGTCCTGCTTTGTGGCATTAGGAAAACAAACTGAAACCAAAGTCAAAGAAGTTTTTCCATGCTGAAAATCAAAGGTGGAAGCCCAGGTTTGGGTTGGGTTGGGGAGACCGAGGAGCAGGAAGGGTTTGGTTCTGGATTCTCTCTGCAGGTTTCAGCTCGGCAGGTCTGGGATCATAGTGGCAACACCCTCAATGTAAGAGATATACCTGCTTTGGCAGGAGGGTAAGAGAAGTCTTCATAGACCTGCACCTCCTTCTCACCTTTCTCTCTTTTGTTTTGGTAGCCCAGCCTGGAGGGCTTATCTCACTTAATACACCACTAAAGCTGTACCCCTCAGGAGCTGCCAGGATTTGGGGAGGGCTGAGGTGGGTGCAACAGACCATGCCTACCTACAGCATCTTAGAAGTTGCATTGAGAGATATGGGACATCCAGGATCTGTTCTCCTGTCCCTCTCCCTCCTGCTCAGGGGCTGTTCCTTGACCCTTTTCCTCTAGGGAACTTTAATATGAAGGTCAGCAACCTCCTTCTGCATAGACCTGATGTGTGGCTGCTCCCTGAAACTCTTCTCTATATCTATCCCCTTCTCCCCTTGTATTACCACTGCTGTCCTTCATCAAGAAGCTCTGCTCCCCTTGAACAACATGCATGTCCTTTTGTTTCCCAATGGACCATCTCCTTTCTTATGTTGTGGTTCACTTGAGCATTGGCAGCAAGCAGCAGGAGTGTTGGAAAGCCAGTTGATTCCTGTATAAATAGGAACAGAGCATCTCTAAGAGCAGTGATATTGCCGAAGAGCCTCGTGTGAAGCCCATGTATGCAGCTCTTTTCCATGACCTCCCTTGGTTCATTTCTCTCTCTCACAAACACGCACAGCAATCTGTCTCCAGCTCCAAAGGACTCTGAATTCACCATCAGGGCCCTCACTAGACAAGCAGACTCTTAGCACCTAGGGAGCCAACCCTCTTCCTTAGTGGGAAATGTGTTCCCATTGAGCTGTACATCATCAGTGCCCCCAGGGTGGAAGAGAGATCTGGGGGTCACTGAGACATTGAGAAGGGGGCAGTAGGGAAAAGCCTAATTCTGGCATGAGGTGATCCCACCCTTGACTCCCCTGGCCCATTCCCCACAGACTTATATCTATGTTGGATTTATTATCTGCATGGGGTTATGAAAGCATTTTGGGTCATGTTTTGCCCCAGAAGTGACGGCAGAAATAATTGGGCAAATTAAGGATTGGTGCAAATGCCATAAATCATTATGGTGAACCCTTGGTGGAGCCCTTTGTTTTCTTCGGTGACCTTGAGAAATGGTTGGCATGCCTTGCAGTGCCGGGAAGGAGGCAATGAACCTAAGCCATGTTTTATCTGAATGGGATTTAGATGGGTCAAAACCCAGGAGATGCCTGAGTGTAGGAGACAGTGCTGGAGGCACCCAGGGATGTTGCCCAGCTATCTGGGTGACAGCTGACATAGTGTGTTCCTGAACAGGTCTGATCCGATCCCGAATCCGAGGGGCAGATGTGGCACAAGCAGGAGTCCTGACCTTCCTCGACAGTCACTGTGAGGTGAATAAGGACTGGCTGCTCCCTCTGCTGCAGAGGATCAAAGAGGTGAGTGATCCTGAGAGACCAGGGCTGCCCTCAGGGGACGCATCACTGATGTCCACCTCCTCTTCCCTCTTAATGGGCATGGCCACCCAACCATAAACCAACTGCATGTAGGCATCTGAGTAAGGAAACACTGAGCTTTTAGGGTGCAAAGTGGCTTTTTCTGGTCTTCCTACACCCAGCACCCAGGTGGGACCATCTCCGCAGCAGGTTGGTGGGACAAGGTGCAGTAGGTCTGTAACCGGCAGGCACATGTTGAGTGGTGGAAGGGGAATACATGGGCAGTGCTCCAGCAGCGTTTTTAATTAAGCTCATGTAAAATGCTCAGTGCTGATGATTTACGGGAGTGACGGCTCCTTGAATAGGGGCTGAATTTAATTTCATGCAAATTAAGCACTAATAAATTGATTTAATAGGATTTAAATTCTGATGATTTCAGAGCAGACAATGACATTTGCCTTTCGCCGCTGGAGACTCTCTCCCCAGACCTGTGCACGGAGGCCCTGGGTGCCTTACCACGAGTCAGAGGGAGCTCTGTGCTGGTGACCTGCTGGCACGGTGCAGGGGATGAAGTCTTTAGCTCCAGCATGGACACATGCTCCTTTGCCTTTGCTGTGCCTTGCTCCTCCACCCTTCTATGCCTCTGGCTCCTGATCGCTAGTATTTATTACTCGGTAATTTTGGCACTGCTGAATTATGTTGATATAAGGTCAACTGAGGAGCAAGGGGAAGCCAAGGCAGTGGGTAATGGTAAACTGGAGGTAAACCTGCTCAGCTGATGTTCATGGTGCCCCTCATCCAAGGTGGCTGCTTTTCACACCTCCCTATGTGATAGCTGTGCTGGCTGGGGTGTGCATCCCTCGTGTGCAGCTGCGATGGGACAGGGGGGAAGTGGGATGCAGCACTAACTCAGGTCCCTCTGCAGTGGTTGAGGGCACTTGGTACTTCTACTCATAGTGCAGCCAGAGCTGGAGAGGTCCCAACCTTGGTTTGCAGGCTGGGCCACAGTGTTGCTGATAGATGGTGATATAGTGAAAATGGCCCTTTCACGTTATCGATTGCAGCTCCAGTGGCATTAGGAGAACATGTGCTGTGATACCTCACTCCAGCCTTGTAACTGGCCTGCCCCAATGTGGGATGCACCAGTAAACTTCACTGCATCGGCTGTTCTTCTGTGCTTTTCTAAGGCAGGCTTCTCTCATTCTCTGCTGAAGCCCTGCCATATGTCAGTGAGGAATATCCAGAGCAGTTTGCCTCTTTCTCAGGCAGAGCTTTTGATGTGTTTTGGCAGAAGGGCAGCAGTGTCAGCAGGAAGGGGACAGGCAGACCTGCTTTCATGCACAGCTCCAACACTGTGCCCCTCATTCAGCGTGCATGGGGTAGGTGAATATGGATGCCATGTGCAGAATCACCATAGGAATTTCCCTGCATCATGGTCTGTATAGCATCCAAGGCATGCTGCACCTCCATGAACTTCTTATTTGCGCTTCTGGGTTTAATCTCTGTCTGGAAGCAAGGCAGTCTGTAAAAGCTTACACTGCTGCTCATGCCAACTTCACCCTGCCCAGTGTCTTGCAGCCTCAGGCAGCAAGAGAGACTAACTATGAAAAGCATCGAGGGACTTGCAAAGCAAGTGGGCTCCTGCTTGCTTGCTTGCTTTTTAAGTGCTTGCAAAAGCTGGAGGATAAGGGCAGAGTCCTCCGTTTCCTTCTTCCCAGGCCCCCCATACCCATCTCTTCCATCAGGGTTAAAACATTGATCAATGAAGTGTATGAAATGTTACTGCTGCCACCTTCAGGCTGTGCTAAAGAGATGGCTTTCCCGTCCCACTGCTGCCGTGAGCATCAGCTGCCTAGAAAGAGCATTTTCTTACTCTGTTACTCCTGGGAGCAGTCTGCTTTGAGCTAATGTGATTTAAGTTTCAAGCAAAGGAGCAGCGAGTGCCTCGAAGCACACCCAACACTTTCACCAGCACCATGAGCATCACTTCTCTTTTACTTGCACAGCCAGAGCAGCTATTCCTGCAGCTTTCCATGGTGGAAAACCCCAGAGCCTGTGTGTGCCACCATGCACCCTTGTGAAGGTGCCCCTCAAGCCCCAGACTGAACTTTCCCACCAGCCAATGGCATCCCCCCTGTCTGGCACTCACTTTTTGGGTTTAGGCAGCACATGCCAAGCTTATGGATTTGGAAACAAGCAGGGCTAGAGAGCATAAGGCAAGTGATGGCCTGTGGGGGAGAAGAGAGAGCATCTCAGACCCATGTCTTGGAATGTGCGTGTCCCAGGGAGCAGCAGTGACACAGTGGGTGTTTTGCACCAGCGTGTTTGCAAGTGTATGATTGTGAGTGCGTGGGCACAGGCTCTTGTTTTTACTTATGCAGCAAATAAAGCCATTAACGGTGCATTTCCACCGAATGACTCTTCAGAAAATGTAATTCTGCAGCCCAAGGTGTTTTTGCAATATGGCTCAACGAGCTCGCCCCAAACCAGGATTTACAAATGACAATAGGATGAACCAGTGGATGAATCCCCACTTGCAGCTCAAGCACACCAAACACTCCCCTGGGGCAGGTGAGAGGCAGCCTGACCCGCTCACTTTACCTGATGCTTCTGTGGGGCCAGAGAAGCAACTGTGGCCCTTTTTGTTGTCCATTACGAGATCATGATACAGAGGTTCGGAAGCACACTGGAGTCAAGGTTCTTTTCCAAGGTTGAAATGTATCTGCTGTCTTCAGGATCACTTTCAGGGTTTTATCCTGTTCATTTAGTTCCATGGTTTGATTTGTTTGAGAAGTGTATTGGAAAAGTGGATTCTCAGGTTTTTTAGAGTTTCATGTGAAAGAGGATTGAAGATTCGGGTGTCGTTAACAGTAACATGCCCTGGCATGGCAGGATATAAAAAATCTATAAGGGTGAAGCTGCCTATAATGAGATCTGGTGCTCAACCCAAAGTAAATCGTAGCAACAGTGCTGTGCTCTTGAGCATGCTGGACTTCTCTTTACAGGGTCACAGAGACCTTCATGGAAGCTGAGTAAGCATAAATGTGCTCAGGATATGGTAGGGAAAGTGAGGCAGGGGAAGGCTGCACTGCTGAAGGCTAGCATTTTGTAGTACTGCTGTCAGCTGAGACGTAAAGAGGATTTTCTTTCATGAAGGTTTGCCATGCAATACACAGGAATGGAAGATGCTTGAGGGACAAGTTTTAAATGAGGAGGTAGGAACCTATCCCTGCGGTGTTCGGCGCGCAAAGCAGATGCTTTGCTTAAAACCGTTCCCTTTCCCTCAGGCAACTAAAGGATGCTTGGCTATACGGGGGGGGGGGAGCACTGTGCAGCAGCTATGGTGGGCTTGAAAAGCTCATTGCACTTGGGCATGAGTTGAGTTTCCCCATACAGGATGTAGGTACAAGCAGACCTTGCCCTTTTGGTCAGGCGTTTGACTTGCAGAAAGTCATGTTGAGACCCTCACGTTAACAGACATGAGGTTGGTTTTGGGAATACCAGCTATTTGTCATGTTTATTTGGAAAACCTGAGCTCTAGTCCAGCTCCCAGCTCATGGCCTTCGGTTGCTTCTTCCTACAGTTACAGCTGAATACTTCCTTATTAGGACAAATTTCTAAAACAAAGTGTTTTCTGAGGGAGAGAGCAAGCCTGTGGTGCTCAGATGCTTTCCTTTGCATGGCTGTGAAAAACAATTTGATTTGGCAAGGGTGAAAGCTTGAAGTGTGAGCTATAATTGGAGTTCAGGGTTTTTGAAAGGAAAAATGTAGATAAGAGACCAGTGAAAGCTGTCAGAGTCTCTTCCTCCCGTAGATCTTTTTGTTCATAACTGTTTGTATAATCTCTTTGCCCATAACAAGATGTTTACTAAATCACCACCAACTCTTTTAAATAATTCAGGTCTTTTTTTTTTTTAACCCCTTCACTCCACTGGCAAAACTCTATCTGTATCCCCACAGTTTGTACATTTAAAAAATAGCTGTATTTGAGATGCTTGCCCGCCTATGGTTTTCCTCTGTTGGTTCCGCTGCTTGTTTGTCGCCTGACTTCTGAAATCCAATAAAACGTATTTAAGGGAGGCAAAAGGGGAATACATTGCTGAATTTGCAGAAGGTAGATGGAGCTTTGTATCCAGCTGGGTCGGGCTCCAAGTACATGCACAGCCTGCACAGGGAGAGGCTGTGGGTGAAGCCAAAGTCAGTGAGAGGTGCTGTCCCAGAAGGGACAGTGTCTGCCTTCCCAACGCCTCTTGCCATCACGCCCCCGGTTCCCAGCAACATCTCTACCTCTTGGTGCTGCTGCCATTAATTCCTTGGTTGAATGGATATGATGGCTGAGGAAGAGGAGTTAGTGACGTGCACGTGGCCCTGATAAACCAGAATAACGCCAACATTTCCAGCCACCTGGTGTCCCCAGGAGTTTAGAGAATCCCTGGACCAATTTGAGTGGTCTGATCGGAAGTCATGGGTCATCTTCTGCTTTCCAGGATCCCACCCGAGTGGTCAGCCCTGTTATTGACATCATCAACTTGGACACTTTTGCCTATGTGGCGGCTTCCTCGGACCTCAGAGGAGGTAAGTCCAAGCCACGTGAATGGATGCCCTGCAGGCAGACCCTGTAGGCACCCATGCCGTGGTGTGACCGTGCAGTGGCCCAAGGAGCTGGTGGCTCTGCACCGCACGGCTGCCTCTTGCTATCGAGTAAAAAGCACATTAGCACTCCTCAGTGCTCCCCGCTGGCTGTTTTCAGGCTATTTTAGAGGCAGGTAAGGAATGATCTTTGCTACAGTGGGTAAGGCGGTCAAGCAGGAAACAAGGGTCATCTAGAAGTCACCCTTGGCAGCACTGAAAGGTGGGCTGCTGACAGGAGGAGATGGGCGATGTCTAGGCAACAAATGGAGGATGCAACTTTAGTGCTTATTAGTATGCCTGTGCTATTTGTAGCACACAATAGCCATCAGAGCGTGTATCTGTGTGCACAAGGGAACAAAATGAGGTTTCAGCAGCAGCTTTAATTCTGACTTTTCCTGCCTTTGGAGTGCTTGACTTTGCAATTGTAATGCAATAGGTTGTTTCTGGTTCATATGCTGTAGTAAAATATATTAGTCATTGGACTCTTCTCCCAGGAGCTGCATCTCTGTGGCTTGAGTAATTTGAAAGCGGGGAAAATACTCCATCAAACATGGCTTCTGCAGCCTGCATTGCTTCCTAATTCATGCCCATTTCTTGTTTCCCCTTGGTACTTCTTTACTGTGGTTTTAGGTTTTGACTGGAGTCTGCATTTCAAATGGGAGCAGCTTTCCCCAGAGCAGAAAGCCAAACGACTTGATCCCACCGAACCCATTAAGTAAGTCAAGAGGGGGAAGGAGGCACCTGGGACAGGAACAGGCATCTCATCTGACACCTTATGTCTGTCACCATGCACCATAGCAGTGTGATACTCCTTCCAGGACAGCTCTGAACTTCTAATACCTATAATGAGACCCTGGCTAGCTTGGGTTTTGCAGTACAGCTTCACCTCCCAAAACTGGAGCCTGTGGGTGCTACAAAGGTAGAAGGAGTCTGCTTATGGTTTGCTGAATATGATTAGGGAAAAGCCCAGTGCTCTACACTCCTGCTTCTCTCAACTCAACCATCACTTAAAAATAAGGCAGTGTCCTCACCCCACTTGATACAAATGTGAATGTCTAGTCCAGCACTGCTTCTCCTTAGGATGCTGCTGTTAACAGGAGCTGTCACTAGCTTCCCAAAGGCTCTTCCTGTGGTCCTGGTTGTCCTGCCATGTAGGGCACTGTGGAGACTAGGCTGGGCACAGCAGTCACCCCAGCTCCTCCCAAGCCTATGCTAAGGCATCCACACTGTCTGCCAGCATGGAGGGACTTGAGCTGAATGGCAAGTCTCAGGACATCTTCTGGATCTGCCCTCCCCTCCTCCATGGACCTTCTCTGTGCAGTTTTCTTGGCTAATCCAAAGAATGAAAAAGAACTCTGTTTTGAAATAAAGATCACACAGCCAGTGATGGCTTTTAAAAAGCCCTTCTGAACTGGCTCTGCCTTCCCCTCCCCAGTGGAATGGTGCTCTTAATAGGCTGGATCCAGGCAAAAAAGCCCGTTTGAGTGAGTAACCCCCCGAGCGCTAAGTGCATTTGTGATGCTGAAGCCTGCAATCAGGGCTGTGAACTTGGGGCTTGTAGGACTTGTGCTGACGGGTGCATTAGCCAGTCATTCAGTGCCAGGCAACTTATGATTGACAGCAAAGTACCAAGGCAGCTGAAAGAAAGGCTCAGAAGCTTTTTGAGGGCTGTTGTCCTTGTCTGGTGAGAAGGAGGTGCCTAGGTAATGTCCCAGTGGTGGAAGTGGAAGGCTGCTTCTGTGCATTCAGGTGCCGCGGCAGTGTTTGAGTGTGTGTCCCCTCTTCCTTACGTATTCTGCAGGACTCCCATCATTGCTGGGGGGCTATTTGTGATGGACAAAGCCTATTTCAACCACCTGGGGAAGTACGACAGTGCCATGGACATCTGGGGTGGGGAGAACTTCGGTGAGTCGCTTTTCTTCCTCATACGCCTTGCAGTGTTGGCTTCTCTTCCTATGTCATGCCAGCTGGTTACAAGGTCATTTTGGACCTTGCCTTGAATGCTCTGCATGGTTTCTCTCTCTTACATTCATAAGTTATGGTATCAGATGAGTAAGGGACCCATGAGTGATGAGAAGTGAGCAGTTGTTTGTACTTTCTGCTTTCCATGCTGCTTTGATTTTTCTATGCGTAAATCACGGAGTTTTCAGCTTTGGTATTACCAACAGATGAGGACACCAAATTCACCCTCCTATTCCTTCCTGGTCTTATTTTTCTCATTAATAAAGCAAAGACGTGTCTTATTCCATTGTCTGACAACAGCATTTGGAAACTATGAACTGAGACATCAGTGCCTCCCTGAATTTGCAGAGTGCCTGCAACAGGAGCTCCATTGGCATGCTGCAAGCAAAGTAACATGGCTATTTTTCCATTCCTGTATCACTAGATGGCTGAGCACTGCCAGGCTCTCCTTCACGCTATCACTTTCCTGCCTGAAAGCAAAAAGGTTAAGAGCTGGATAAACTCAGTCTCCTCTGCCCATTGTCACAGGCCAAGATGGGCATTAAGAAATCTCCTGCATGCAAACTTGAAAGGGCACATGAAAGAGGTAACAAGCCTGTCCCTTGTCCCCCATGTCAAACAGAGCTGGATCAGGAGGGGCTGTTCTCTCTTTGAAGTCCTAGTGATGCTGCAGGTCAGACCAATAGACTGTATCCATGAAAGAAGGGGGAGGCACTTTATGTCAGGGAGACAGATTAGAACCCGGTTTTAATAGCTCACACCTCTGGGGAGTATGGCTAGCAAGGAAGGAAGGATCTTGCGTCTTAACACACACAGCGATGCTGTCAGTCATCCAAGGGAACAGATGCTGCCGCCTTGCAGTAACCCATCCGCTGCCTGGCACTGTTGTTTCCTTCACATGCCTTTTCCCTCTAGCATATTTTATTTATTCATATCTCGTTATGCAGTAGGATCTCATTCCTTCATGCTTTCTCTCTGTGGGTGGGTGTCTTGCCACCGCACTGACTCAAAGCATCTGCTCCTCTGAGTGGGGTAGCTCAGAGCAAAACTAGGAGTGGAGAGCTGGATCAGTGGCCCAAAAAAAGCATTCAAGAAGGGAACTAGATAGGAGGAGAGGAACTGCTGCACAGTGCCTGACCCGCTGTCCATGTCTGCTCATCTTTCATCTCTGACAGCAGCCAGCCCAAGCTGCTCCTGGGAGATGAACAGTGACAGGGCAGCTCACCCTCCAGGGAAGCTCCATCCAAGCAGCTTGTCTGGTGCCCTATATCAGCAGGCATTGTGCCCCTTGCTTGTGGTTATAGCCCATCCTATGTAGTGTGATGTTTGCCTTATTGGTGCTACGCCCAGGGAGGCTGGTCCTGACCAAACATGTACTGGCTATGCTGCAAGGCATGGTGCTGCCTCAGGATGGTGTGGCAAAGGGAAGCTAGGCGGGTTAACACTGCAAGAAAGAAGTGCAGGTCTGCATAGCAGCAGGGCAGATCCCATCCTGCCCATCGTCCTGAGAGAAGAAGTGTGCCCTGCTCAAAGCTGATGCCCATTGAGTGCAGCGTATCTCACCTCTCCTTAGAACACAGGCAAGGGCAACTGGGATCCTGCTGGCCCTGGTCAGTCCGGGGTTGGTGACAGACAACAGGAGCTGACCCAACAGCAGCTCATTTTGGGGGCACTTATAGTGAGCCCTGCTTTTTCTGGTAGCTGAGTCTTGAGGGGATGAAGGACTCTGGTTAGGGGAGCATCACTGTTGCCTTTGATATTATTGACTGGGCAGCTAGAGGGGGTTGGAGTCTTCAGGCAAAACAAAAGCAAGTGTGTTTGGGTTAGGAGGAGGACATTGTAGGTGTTTTAGTCCTTAAATTTACTTAATTCCCTGTAGACGAGTTGATGAGTAACGGCAGAAGGACTTGCAGAGCAGAAAGAAGTGCTAAAGGTATTTTGCCAAGCTAAGGCCAAGCCTGGTGCATGCTGCTCACATCTCTCCTAGGGGTTGCTTGGAGCTGCCACTCTCATTGAGGATATCTCTTGAGGGTCAGGTGAAGCACACTTGGCGCCTGCTCCTCTGCCTTCAGTGGTGCCTCAGTTTACCTCTTCTCAAGGCATTTAGCTCTCGGCTGCCTGTCTGGAGACCTTGCTTTTTAGCTGCCACAGATGGCTCCATGGGTCATCCATACCTGCCAAAACCTGTGCTTTAATTGCTTCTTCTAGAACTGGAACGGGGTCTGCAGGGTACAACATGAGCAGAGAGCTCAGACTCCTCACCATCTCCTGCCTCCCCAGCACTGTGCTCTCACTCCACTTCACAGTGCACAGAGATCACCTTAGCCCACCTTTTCATGCGGCTTTAAATTCGAAGCAGGCAAGGAACTGAATGGAACAAGTCTTTCCCTTGTAGTGCTTCAGGCTGAGCAGGAGGACCAGAGGAGGCGAAGGCACATCGCAGCAGCCACTTTGTGCTTCACAGCTGCTCTGCTCATCGTTCCCTTTTATCGGGCACCCTTCTGCTTTACAGAGCATCGCTGGCGGTGCGGACAGCGCTGTGACACACAGGCAAATGACAGCAGCAGCCACGTGCGAGGGGATCCGAGCACAGCAGCTTAGAGCAGCTGCCTCGTGCTGCAATCTCATTTCCCTGCAGCTGTGATTAAGGTTGCTCCCAATATAGCACCAGGACATGGCGCAAGGGCACGTTTTATTGGCCTGTTAATACCCAGCACTGGGGAAAGTGGTGAGGCTCCAGCTGCTGTTGCGACTCTTGCCTGTAAACACAGCAGTGAAGGGGAAGAATTACTTCTCCCTGCTGTGCTTTCCCACCACAGCCTTTGCTGGACCCTTCTGCCAGAGCCAGCTGTTGGAGATGGGCTCAAGCCTTGAATGTGAGACCCGTACATCAAGGCCATGCCATCCTCCTGCTTCCATCCGCTCTGCAGCAGTGTGTACCTTGTGGTAGAGCCATGCCCGCTGAGGAGGCTCTGGAGGTGCAGGCTACAACTGTCCTTTGCTCCCTGAAGCTGTGAGCTGTTTTTGGAGGGGTGGCATCTCTGTGGGCCAGCAGTGCCTGTGTTGGAGAAGCAGAAGCGCTGTCTGTGCTGCGCAAATGGCATTACCGCCACAAGCGTTTGTCTTGTCAGCATCCGACCTGGGAACAAGCCATCCTTGTGCTGGCATATGTGAGGTGACAGCTGAGAGCACAAGCTGATAAAGACAAGGGGTGTCCTCCTGTCTGACTGTATCTGTGTGGGAAGTGAAAAAGTATTTGTAGCTTTAGAGTAGGTACACGCTACATACAGCTTTACGCTGTCAACAGATGATAAAGTAGGATGCAAAGAACTGCAGAAGCCTTTTCTTTTTAACTTCATTACTTTTCCACGGTGGTTCTGTCTAAGCATGGCTGTCTGACAATATAGCTGTGGATTCATAGCTTCACAGGTGTTAGGACCAGATGGACCCATTAGATCAGCCATTCTGCTCACCAGTCCTACCTCACCAGCTAGGATTTCATCCAGCTCCCTGCCAAGAGCCCCATAACTTCTGGTGTCAATTGTGCCACAGGCTTATTTGCCTTGAGAAGTTCACGTGGAATAGCCAGAGAGTGGCTTTCAGGAGCTAGGAGGCATTTCCTGTACTGACAGCGTATCCAGATTTTTGGGGTAATCGCTCCCACCATCAGCCTTTGTTAAGGTATCTGCCTTGTTGGCACAACATCATCACTCGTGGTCCAGAAGTACGTGCTGGGCAGGGTAAGCTCTTGCTCATTTTAGGACAGGTGATGGATGCACAGCTCTCTGTTCATTTTGCACAATCAATGGTAGATTCATAAAGATAATGACTATTGTAGTCTTTAATAAACATAATTCATGGCCTCTCCTGGTGAACTTGACAGCTCTTTGGAGGGAAATGACTGAAAAAGGCACTGCAGAAGCAATGAGGGGAGCGCAAAACTGGCAAGATGATGCTGCGATATGAGTGGGCTGCATGAAAAGGGACCTATTTACTATCTCACTTTTGTTATTGTGATGGCACGTGTGCTACAGGCAAGTTTTAAGTGCACTGACTTCAAACAGCTCGCAAGAAGCTTTGAAATGCACTTTTAAGGCAGTTGTGCCTGAGAAAACCCCTTTGGTAATTGATTTACCCTGATTTAATGTGGCAGAGGATGAAGTGAGAGGTGATGCCAGGATCCAGCCTTCTCTGGGATAGTAAGGATGGATTCTGAAGCTGCTTCTTTTGTAGAAATCTCTTTCCGTGTGTGGATGTGTGGAGGGAGCCTCGAAATCATCCCCTGCAGCCGAGTTGGGCACGTCTTCCGGAAGAAACATCCATACGTCTTTCCAGAGGGAAATGCCAATACATACATTAAGTAAGTGTGCTTGCTTTGTCTTGTGGGGAAACAGAATAAGGTGCTGCCTTGTGGGGAGCACGGAGCAGACAAGACACTGAGGAAAATCTGCTTGGAAAACTTCACAGTATCCCCGGGCAGGAATCCCCGGAGCCAAAAGAAATGCAAGTCAGTACGACTCACCCTTGGGATTTCTAGTGTTGATAACATGACAGAAACAGGACACTGCTGTGGTACCTTTCACCAGCACAGAGATGGAGAGATGTCCACAGCATATCTCTGAGCGCTAGCTACCATAACAGCAAATGGATTGGACCCTTAGGTCAGCATTGGGCTGCAGGTTGCTGGCAGGGACACCAAACAACTGCCAGGGCATCCCAGCTGAAGGGATCCCATGCACAAACACAGGAACATAAACTGAGTTGGTACTGAAACAGCCAGCTGAAATGAGCTGAGCTAGGCTCCTGGAAACAGGAGGCAACAAAAGAGGCAGTCCAGAAGTGGGAATAGGCATGGGCAAGGTGATGGGAGCAGCTAGTGAAGTCAGGATGGATTTCCTCCTCTTTTAGAGCATGAGGCTGAACGTTGTCCGTTAAGTAAATGACAGAGGAAAACACCAGGGCATTTAATGCAGAGCTGGTTTTCAGCTAAACTGCATATGTGTGCGTTTACACACCAGGAATTCCTTTTAGTGTGGGGTTCCAGCTATGTTTGTGAAGACAGCCACCTGCAGCAGGGTTAACGCTGACCTGGGCTCTCTGCAGCTTTGCATGAGACAATTAACCAGGGGAGTGCAAATTACACCTCTCAGCTACACCTATATTTGATTTCCAGCCACATAGTGTGTGGGGCAGGAAGGGGACCTGTATCGTCTTGCTTCAAAAGGATGGCAATGAGGGGCACAAGACACAGCTGTTGTCAAGGAGGTGGGCACAAATTTGAGAGTCAAGGGGAAGGCTCTTGCTTTTAGTAGTGAAATAAGACTCCTGCAGAAGAGGCTGGGATGTGGCAAAACCTCCAGCGATGGAATTGCTGCAAACCTGAGTGAAAAAGTAGCATCTCCATTGCATCACCTGCAGGAGGAGCAAGGGGAGCTTGAATGGGTACAGTTCTTCTGGCTGCGCCTCAGGCACCAGTGTCTGGGACTTTGAGGACGTCTGAATCAACGCCTGGGTGTCAGCCTCAGCATTTGTCTCCATGTTTCTTATAAACCCCAATGAGATCAGGAAGCCAGACAAAAGCACCGTGTAGTTTGGGAAAGGCTAGGTACAGATATAGACACTGTGATTTAGGCATCTCTTGAGCAAAAGCACTTAAGACTACTGCAGTGGCCTTATAGAGGAAGAAGCACCATGAATCAGCAAGGGATTGAGAAGCAGTCTGGAGATACATATCTGTTAGCATTAGGAGCTGGGATTTCATTAACCTTATGGTATCTGTCAATTTAAAACTTAATCTTACAGTATATAGACTGAGAGGAGAAGCAGCTTCTGGCAAACTGATGTAATGTGGTAGCTCTGTTTAAACAGAGATGTTAGCAAAAAGTATCTTTCTGCCAGATACTGATGTTTTTCCACACAGCCTTTGTGTGAGAGATGGCTCAGGCTCCAGTGATATACTGGCTTAACATGCAGACTAACCCCTTTTCTGGCCACATGGGACTTGGTTGGATCCAGAGCCTGCCCCATGGCAACTGCAGCTTAGTAATGTGGTAACCATAGTTTGGAGCCTGGCCTGCCTTGGAGCAGGGGCTTGGAGGACTCCTCTGACCCAGGCAGGGGTAGGCAGATAGGCATGGAGCAACAAAGCCATTTGCAAGGAGAGTTAAAGCCATCTGAAGCCAACAGAAGATTCCTCTGCAGAAACCTGGCTGATGTGGAAGACTGACATTTATGCTACAGCACTATGGCTGGGATGGTTTAAGTTTTGAACGCTGAGATTTGCCTCTGTGAAATCCAGGAACGGAAAGCAGGAGGGTCCCTTCAGGATTGATGCAAAGGAAATACTTGCTTTCAATCTTTGGCAAGTTTTGCAACACTTTTCAGAGCTCCATCCCAGCCACTGATATAACCCCAGGCACACCTGCCTGGGAGATGATGCTTACGAGAAGCTTCAGCTACAAAGCATCCAGTTTGAAATGGTGAATTCTTCATGCAAGTTTTGGCCTGTTGTGTTTGGTCCCTGGCGTAATGGGGAAGAGGAATACCTTCTCTACTAGGTGGTGGGGTGGCCCAAAGGTGGCTTGGGTGAAGGATGGGAGGACAGCAGAATGGATCAGTCAATCCATCACCCTGGGGGCTTCCTTGGTTTCACCGTCCTTTGTTGCCTCCTTCAGGAACACCAAGCGCACCGCGGAGGTGTGGATGGATGAATTCAAGCAGTACTACTACGCTGCTCGTCCTGCAGCCCAGGGGAGACCTTATGGAAAGTAAGTGTTTAGTGCACTGTGCCCTGCCTTCTGCAGTGTGTGTTCCCGGTGACGTTGCCCTGCTGCGGAAACCCGCCTGTGTTGTTTCTGTAGTAACGCTCAATTAAATGCTAATGGTAGGCAGATGCTATGAGCGCAGCAATGAAACATATAAAGAGCTAGTTTGTATGCTGTGCTAGTTTATCCCAGTGAGTGAATCAAATCAAGGTGGGGGAAATCCCCCTCTGCCTAAGTCCTGCCCTTGGTATCAGGTACAAGTACATCTGGTCTCAGGGAAGGAGGGAGTTTGCCATTCATTCTGTGTACAGTCAGAAACACCACTCTGTGAGGCGGACCGAAACGGTTTGTGTTAATTTCTCATTTTAAATGCTCTTCTTTTCCTTAGGAAGTTTCCTTTAGACCACAGGGGGTTCCAAATTCAATCCCAAATTCCTTGTGGCTACTCTTCAATCTCCAGGTTAAATAAATCGAAGTCCTGGTGACTAACCTATTTCCACTGAATCCATATCCTCTCCCCATCTGTCAGCACTGAATGAAGTAACAGCCCTGTCTTACTACATGTATGAGGGTGTAGAGAAGATAGCCTATGCAAAGGGAAGGTACTGGAGGCTTCCCACTGCTCTGTAAATGCCAGCTCAGAACATCTCTGTAGGTAGAGACTGGCCCAGGGAGGAGCTGGAGTTTGGAAAATGCCACTATACAGCAGGATCCCTCAGCAAAAGTTATGCCCTGGTTAATGAAAGAAAGAAATATTTCACCATGAAATTAGCTTCTGCTGACTTAAAGGTGTGTTTAGGCACTCTGGGAAATCAAGGCCTCCTGTAGTCCTATAAACTTAAAACAGAATATATTAATCTCCTAGTGCATTAATAAATTAATGCCATTTGCACATAGCAGATAGCATCCTTTTTTTTACTAACCATTTTTAAGCAGCTGTACTTTCCCATGAACATTTTCATCCACCAAACTCTAGACTCCTTGTTAAAATGGCAGTGTGCCATCATGCCATTTTACCAAGTGAGGCCACCAAAGAGACTGAGATCAAAACAACCACCCAAGCTCTAGCAGAAGAGAGAAGAAAACAGAGCTGCTGGTGCTCCTGTGTTTGCTGTCTGTGCAGTATCTGTTGGGTTTCTCTCAGCCTTTCTTTTTGGTGCATTGGGTCTCAGCTTCATGATTTCCATTGTACCTCTATGGTATTTTTTTCCCACAGCATCCAGAGCAGAGTGGAGCTGCGGAAGAGGTTGAAATGCCACAGCTTCAAGTGGTACCTGGAAAATGTTTATCCTGAACTCCGGTATGGATGTGCGATCTTCACCCGTCTCTAGCAGGCCAGTGGGATGCCCCGTCCTTTCTGCCCCACAGAGCTTTCCTCTGCACCTCCAGTCCCCTGCCCCAGACACAGTCTCCTCCTCCTTTGGACTTCACAGAAGTGCACAGTGAATTTTGTGCTGTCTTTAAACGCAGCTTGTTCACAGTGTGACATGGTTCATTTGTGAGCCTGCTTTCTCTAAGCAGTGTTACAGATTCCTTGGCTCTTTGTTGTAAGGCTGGTGAGGGGCAAAACACTAGTTATTTCTCTTAGTTCTTGGAGCTTCCTCAGGTATCCTCCTGTCCATGCTGCAGGACAGGTGGTGCAGGGAAGTAGACAGTTTCCCTTGCAAAAGTATCCCAAGGTGGAAAATCCACCATAGAGCTGTTGGGCTGTTTCCATACATAATCATGGAATGGTTTGGGTTGGAAGGGACCTTAAAGCTCATCCATTTCCAACCCCCTGCCACGGGCAGGGACATCTTCCACTAGACCAGGTTGCTCCAAGCCCCTAAGGTCCAACCTGGCCTTGAACAGTGCCAAGGATGGGGTCAGCCACAGCTTCTCTGGGCACCCTGTGCCAGCGCCTCAGCACCCTCGTAGTGAAGTTTCTTGCTTGCACCTGATTTCCAGTCCTTTCAAACTGTTTCATGATAAGACTATTCTGTTGTGAAAAGAATTTTTTTTGTGACCTGTATTCAGCCTAATGCTGACCTTAATATGCACTTCCACAGTTGCTTTTGCACAGATCTATTTTAGTCACCAAAAATACTCCAGAAACCATTGCATCCATTCCCCCAGCCTCCATCAGGAGGGGTGCAGTAGTTTTGGAGATACCTCCAGGACCCGCTGGTGCAATGGCCGAGTGCAGAATCACAGCATTTACTTGCTTTTTTGCCATGCATGGCACTACACAGCAGCATTCACATTGAATGCCAGGGTTCTGTGGCGGTTTGATATAAAGTTCCCCGCTTCTGTGAGCTGAAGGCTGACCTTCAGCCTGCTCACAATCTATTCCTTGCTCCTCTGTTTGCCTTGTGCAGTGTTATTTATTTCTGCCTCTTATAAAGGCCAGCCATCCATCTCTGAGTGCTGCTTCTGCAGTGTCCCGGTCCACGTACTGCTCTCAGTGGTTCAGCATTGTAATAGAACTTGCCACTCTCATTTTCTGAAGGTGAAATAGTGCCCCTGCACCCTCCTTCCCCCACTGAGTCTCCCTTTGAGTACCCATGTGCCTGGGGCAGTAGGGATGTTGTTTTCATGCTGTTCCCACAGGATTCCTGAGGAATCGCTCTATCAGACTGGGATGATCAGGCAAAGGCAGAGCTGCCTGGAATCACACAAGTCTGAAGCCCAAGAGTTCCCCATCCTGAGCTTAAATCCTTGTATCAGCAGCAAAGGCACAGCAGCAACGGCACAGGTAAGACGTGCTGTGTATCCTCATGCTGCTGGCTGGAGAGAAGGCTCTGGGGCAGCTTCAAGATGATTTCCTAAGTTTGCTAAAGCTCAGTTGAAGGATTAACTGTTCTGCCAGCCCCTTTCCTAAGATACCATGTAGTTAAACCCTGGTAAGTCCTCCTTACCTCAATGGAGGCACTGGGCAGGGACTGGTGCAGGAGCCACAGTACAGGGTGGACCACTTATTGTGTGTGCCTTCCTGTGCTGAGCACTTACTGCTGCTCAGGAACGCCACGCGCCGCTCATCTGCGTTGATCAGAGAAAGGCAAAGAGAGCTGTAATTTCCCCTCATCTTTCAGGCTTATTTCTTTCAAAGTGCTCTGAATTGCAGTGGTATTTAGAACTTCATAGTTTGCATTCTCTCAGTATTAGATTGCCCATTAAGCTAGTGGGAATTTAGTGAGGAGGATGTTGCTTTTTCCAGTCTCACTGAGATGAGAAAAAGCCACATGAATTGGTGCTCTCAAAAGCATATTCTTGGAACTGCTAGAGCCAGGAGCAAGCACATGTGCCTTGCAGTGGAGTTGCTGAAGCAAGACCCTGAAGACACAGCCTCAAAACCTGCTTTTGCTTCAGATTCCCGTTGTGATTTTGGGCACGTCAGTCAGCTCTCTCGCATTTCCATCTATAAAACAGGGAGGATAACAATCACTCACTTCTTCAGGGGTGCCATGAAATAATTTAATAGGCAACGGTGTGCTTGCTTCCACTTGACTGTACATCCTTAACCCTCATGGTTACACATTCAAATCATGTAGCTACACATATAAAAGGCCCAGCCTGGAGATGCTGTTGAAAATGCCCCTCATTTGTATGTGCAAATGAAGCATGTCATTATGTGCATCTCTTTTGCATGCAGTTGGGTGCCTGTCTTTAGTCAGGAAAATAATATCTGCTCCACAGTGTGGTAAAATCAACAATGGCTACTTGAATCTTTGTCAGTTCAGACAATAGAATCACAGAATAATTTGGGTTGGAAGGGACCTTGAAAGTTCATCTAGTCTAACCCCCTTGTAATGAGCAGGGACATCTTCAACTAGATTAGGTTGCTCAGAACCACATCCAGCCTGGCCTTAGATGCCTCCAGGGATGGGGCACCCACCACCTCTCTGGGCAACCTGTGCCAGTGTTTTACCACCCTCATTGATACGTAACTATGCGGTACTTGCAGTTGTATTTACCATGGGGTGAACGTAACTGCAAGTACCACATAGTTACACTTGTAGAATCATAGAATAGTAAGGGTTGGTTTCCACATTTTGGAATTCTTTTTCTTTCTTCCACTGCTACATGGGCTTTTTACACAGTGAATCAGCAAGAGAAGTGAGCTGACGGGAGCAGGTCATCATGTTTCGCAGGGCCAGCTCTGCTGAAGTCAAAAGAAGATGTTTCAGTGACAACTGCAACTTTCAATTAATTGGCTGTTTAAAAAAACAAATCTGGGAAACGCAGAATGGAAACTGCTGCTGCAAGGTAGCGCTTCAGAATGAAACGTATTGGTCTTTCTAAAACATCAATTTGATGTTATACTTTAAAATGAGCAATGTCACAGCCAACAGGTTGGATTGTTTCATTCCCACCAAACACATTCTGTTTGACATTTCTGTACAGGAAATTTTTTTCAGTCTTTCATGCCACAAAATATTCATCTTCCCATTCTGATTCCACAGCAGTTTGCAATAGGTCAACATTTCAGCTGGATGGCAGCTCCATTTCTTGTGTATATCCAGGACTAACTCTGCAGGGGAACAGAAAAATGCACTACAAACAGATTGCTGAATAGCCACACTCAATACACAGGCAGGAATAGAGAAAAACCTTTTCCCTTTATCTTTCTCTTTCTTCCTAGGGTAGTTCTCTGTTATTTGCATCCATGGAGAATATTTCAGATGGAAACAAGAAAATTAAATTTTCATTGTGAATAGAAACTTATATTTTACTTACACAGTTGTTACAAGACCACCTGAACTTGTGGATGACATGGGGGGTAGAGTCACCAGGTTATGCTCTTGCCACTTAGTTTCATATTTAGTATACCAGAATAGAACGATAATCTTCACTTTTAACATACTGAAGTGACATCTTGTTTATCCTGAGCTTCATTATTTGAAAAATAGATTAGCTAAATCAAAGCTGTGCTTTCCTGGCATACAGTAAGAACTGTGGAAAAATATCCTGGCCATCCAGATCCTTTATTATCCATGTTAGTAGCATTGATTTGGTTGCCTGGGTGTCCTTCTGTAGATGTCTCCATGCTAGGCTCCCTAAGCCTTTTACCAACATTACATGCATGAAGGCTGGGACCGGGTGTGAGAAGATCTGAGGTGCTGTACATCACCATCTTGAGGACAGAGGAATAGGAGCTGTCAGATGGCAATCAAATTCTCTCCGTTTTAGTGTTTTATCATCTGTAGTGCAGGGAAAGGGTGTTGTGAGCCCTCTGGCCACATCCATACTTTGGGTACATTGAGAAGAGTTCATTGCAGTAAAATCAGATTTACACCCTTAGCAGATCTCACAAACCCTCTATGCTGGTGTCTGGTGTTAGTCCTAAAAACCTAAAAGGGGCACTGAGGCACAAGAAAAACCCTCATCTTTGTGTACGAGAGCTCTGTCTTCTCATGCCTGGGATCTGCTTAGCTCTTTCTTCTCCAAAGGTCTGGTAGCAGGCTCTGTCTGCCAAGGTGGCCCTCATGGGGACCTGCTCTTGAAGTAATGGCTGGCAGAGATCTTTGTGCAGTGCTGCCCATCCCCAGGGCACAGCGGGCTCTGCCTGTGCTCCTGCCCACTGTAGCCTTGGTACTCTACGTCTTCTTGTGTCTCATTGACTAAGTGAACTGATTGATTTAATTCATCACGGAAGAAATGCATCTGAGGGAAAACAACTGATCATAATCTTGTCCTGGTCTGTCTGATGAAGACGTGAGTAGTGTTTTTTCAAACTAAGTGTCAGTTGGCATCAGTCCATAGATGTTTGGAACAGACATTTGACTTTGGGACTTATTTGAATCATTAGCAGCTTCAGGAAACCTGACATACGTCAGACGAACAAAGACACTTTGGCCTAGATACTCACACACATGTAAGCAGTAGCCAAAAGATAAATGCAAAGTTTAGTCATCTTCTAGACAAGCGAGGGAATAGTGGGAAGGTTGCAGCATCCATTTCCTAAGCTTGCCCCCCAAAATATGTGGGGCTTGGAGCTGAGTGCCTGACACTGCATTTTGGTGACGTGTCCTTGACTCTTATCATGAAGGAAATGCAATGTGATTATCAGCCTGATGTGGCATTGAGTCCGGGGTATAGTTGGCTTGAGCTGCTCTGTGGGCTGACTAGATCTGCACTTTCTTTGGTGAATATTTAGCATCCCTTCCAACTAACCTGGCAGGTCCCTCCTGAGGCAGCTCAACCATAAACATTCTCTTCTGACCTTCCTCCACAGAAAAAGTCTTTGCTCCTCTCCCCCATGGGCACATCCTGCCCTAGCTGTAGGATGGCTGGAGCTGCAGGAGCCAGGCTAAGCCAGCAGACCAAGAGGGGCTGTCTGGCAGCGGTGTCAACTCTGCATCCGGGCTGCTGCGGGCACTGTTTGTGCTTGGCTTTCCCACTCCTGAGATGTGTCTAAGTGCTAGTTCCATCTCAGGGCCCTTTGATGAGTGAAGCACTCTGGTATCCTTAGGTGACTCATGCAGTCGTATGCCTTAGGAAATCCTTCCCTGTGATTTTACAGAGATCATTGAAGGCTGAGGTTGCTTCTGGCTTCTTCCTCTAGCTGCTACCCCAGCTTTAGGGTGCAACTGACCTCTTGCACAGCAGTAGAGCATGTACAGTGCTGTCACGTAACACTGGGCTTCCATGGGGCTGCTCCTTGCTAGGCTGAAGGGCTGCTTTCTCCTCCTGCCAGGCTACACCAAACCAGAGGTCACATTTTAAAATGATTTCCTCAGTTCGCAGTGATGCTGAGTAACAGTGACAGATGCCTGCTCAAATGATGCTAAAGCCTTGAAAAACAGTCACAAGCCTCAAATGGAGCTTAGTGTTATCCAAGGCTTTGGAGAGTGGAGATTGCTGGTTGCGGTTGCTGTCTACGCTCTTCCTCCTTGCTCCACCACTACTTCAACTTTGTCTTTGAAAGGCAGGAAATAACTGATTGCAGTTTCACCTCCTGTAGCTTGGTTTCCTTGCTGCCCTAAAGCCCATTGGCATCTCTTCAGGCCAGTTTGTAGCCCTGAAGCCATGTTAGCTGTTTGAAGGTCTCTGCTCTTAGGAGCACCTTTGGGCTGCCTGGCTCACTACAACACCTGGGGTGCAAAGTTCTGCTGCTGTTACTTCCCTGCTGGCCACGTGAGTGCTTCCTGTGCCAGGATTTAGAAGATAAAGTAGTTTCTCATGGGGAAAAAAAGAAGGGGGAATTGTCATCCCAACTGATACAAATAAAGGAAGAGATGGGATAAGATAAACATTTGCATGGCCATTTGCCTGGTTTTTAACGCAAAGCTTTTCATGGGTTCTGTGGTATTCAAGTGACTTCTTCCCACCCCCCCTCAAATTTCTTCATTTTCTGCATCATTTTCTCTGGCTTTCATCTAGGGCTGAAAATAGACAAGGCATGATTAGAAGTGCATAAAACATTTTCAAGGGAACTGAGTTCCACGGAAAGCCATTCTGTCAAAATAGAACTGTGTGAAAATCTGTCAGTTTAGATAAAGACAGTAGCAGGACAGCCTGGGGGCAAGAGGGGAGGATCCAATGTCGGCTATTGAACTGATGCATATATCTAGCTCCGAAGGCTTCACTTCTTATGATGAAAACAACAGCTTAGGAGAGATGGTTATCACCACCCTGTGTATCCCATGGCGCTTTGCTGAATGAGAGGATGGTCCTGCCTGGAGAGGATGTGGATATTAGGAAAGCTTGAACAGAGCCTGGCCTGATTTAATTGAGGGATTCAACATATACATGAGTTACAGGATTAACTTGCTGCTGCTGAGGAGCCTCCTGGGTGCAGCTCCAGCCCTGTCCTCAACTGAAATGAGGAACAATTGGTTAAAAATGTAAAGCAGGTTTTCAAAGCAGCTTGTAGCAGCACGGGCGCCAAGAACAGATGTTGGAGCTTGCCCTGTAGGGCTTGGTTCTTCACAGATGCAGGACTAATTTGGCACCTGATTTCCCAGGCTGGTGGTTTGCACAGCAGCTGACAGTGTGCGTGGTTGGGATGACTGGAACATGTTCACGGTAGGATCAGGTAAACCCTGCTTCATCTGACAAAGAAGTAGTAGCCAGGAGGCCCTTTGGGTGCAGACTGTGGCTTTGAAAATGAATGCTTGTTATGTGCTGAAATCCTGGGCAGGCTGTTCAGAAAGCCAGGTTTGATTTCCACTAGCTGGTAAGGAGTAGTATGCTAGGAAGTGAAGGGTGTGAGATCCCAGTGTGAAGTCCTTGTGGGTCCGGCCTGCTGTGCAGTGGTGTGTTTTCCCTTCTAGGAGCCTAAAAACCTGAATGAAGCGGGATTTATACTCCTAGGAATTCAATGCCTGCAGCTGTCTGTTCTGAAGTCAGAGAAAGGAGTTAGAGCTGCTGACAGTGACAAATACCAAAAGGGTGGATGTGTTTCCCTGCTCTAATAACTCATGCTAATGCAACCCAAAGCCTCCACCACTCAAAGTCAGGGGAGCTGCAGGCGTCCCAGCTCTGAGATCAGGGCAGCCATTCTTCACTTCCCCTCTGGCACCCAGGAGAGATTGCAGTCTCCTAGGAACATCTTTTGCCCTTCAATTTTCCAGATCCAGACTAACTTCTGCCTTCCCCTCCATTACCAACATCGCTTCTCACTTCATCCCTGTACACATGCAAATAGCAGAGGGATAACCCTTGCCTGGGCAGTCTGAGATCCTCAGGAGATGCTCTTGGGAATGACAGAAGACATTCAACTGGAATAAACATTGGAGTAAACTTCTGGGAAATACTCCTTGGCTAAGCAGTGTATCTGTACCCGGGTGATGCTTCATCCAGCGCATCTGGAAAACCTGGTCAAACTATCAGCTACTTCTCCTTTTCTCCCGAGTAAAACATCCATGAGTGAGAAAGAGGATAATCCCAGAGAGCCCCTGTTGTATGGCAGGTTTTACACAGGAAAAAGAGTCTCTGCTCCTCCAAAGTTTATTTCTTGGGCTGAGGAACTGATAAAGAAAATGACCATGAAAAGCAGCATGAGAAATAAAAGTCTCCAAGACAGCCCAGTGGTCACAGCAAACCAGTAGAGCAAATGTCCCACTCCTTTGATACAAAGAGGAATTTTACCCCTGATTTTTGTGATATTTGGGAGCAGAATCCCAGGACTTGCAGACATTTGTTATATATCACCTCTCTCCTGCTGCCAGCTACAAAGCATTTCTGTTGCTCTTCCTTGGAAAAAGAGGATTGCGCATGGTGTGGTTAGTGGTATTCCTGTCCCTCTTTTGCTGTTTTTCCACACACTTTGTCCCCAACCACAACCCAGTTCTGGCTATGAAATCCTTTGCCTCATGAGCCACTTTGTTCCATCAGCTTTTGTAGCCATTTCCTTTGGCACGTGCAGTCCCCCAGTGACAGTTTTGGGGAGGCTTGAAACATCCTAGTGACCAGCCCAGGTGCCTCTTGAGGTTGGTGAGGTCTGCGCTTGGTTTCAGATGGGACAGCGTCCAAGAAGCCAAAGTGTTTGCTTTTAGGTAGAAAGAATACTAAGAGTGAACCTTGATCTCTCACCTTCTTTCCTTTCTCTTTGCAGGAATGGATGTACACATACAACCACCATGTCCGCCAGCAACAGCTGTGCTTGTCGGTGTACACCCTCTTCCCTGGCTCCCAAGTGCTGATGTCACCTTGCAAAGAAGGTGACAACAAGCAGGTAAGCCATTTCGTTCATCCTCCCCTTTTCTTTGAAGTTCCCTCTCTTGCAGTATAGTATTACCACACATCAAATGGGAGGCACAGTCGATCTGGGAGTACAGAGTCTGGCCTGTTCAGCCCTTTGCCTCTTAAATGAGTGTGTGGATAAGGATGTCTATTAGTGTGGGTGGTGATCTGGATACTTATCTGCAAAAGTCAAACCAAAACTGGCAATTTAGTTCAGACAGGCTGCCAGTCAGCCAGCAGATGCTAAGGTTTCTCTGCAATTAATCATTGAGCTGGCATTTGAACCAACGACCTGGGGAAAAAAGCTGTTAGTAATACGTTATCTTCCTGAAGCCAAGCAAAGGCTGAGCTTAAATGAGTGTGCTTCTGATGGGAGAAATGCTCAGTGTGTGCTCTGCTCCATGTGGGACTGGGGACCCTGTACTTCCCAGCATCAGGCCACAAAAGCTTAGTGACAACTCTCCCCTTGATGCAGGAGCAGCATAGTAAAAGCATAATGAGGAGGAAGCTTGCTCACTCCTGTTTCTCCTCTTGTGTGTGTTTCCCTCCTCAGCGATGGGGTAAAGTTGGGTCACACATTGAACACATAGCTTCACGCTTCTGTCTGGACACTGAGACGATTGGGGACACGAATGAGAGTACCAAAGAGCTTGTCATCAACCCTTGTGAGAGCACAGCCATGAGTCAGCGCTGGGACATGGTGATGTCTTGACCCACTGGAGGACTTACACAGTGGGGATGGGCACTGAGGCGTTGCTACACGCAGTCAAGATGCACCAGGTGGAGCTCAGATGCAAAACCACTGGGGGTTCTTGTGTACTATGGGACAAAAGAAGGATCGTTCAAATAAAAATAAGGACGTGGTGCTCCAGGTTGAACAACGCACGTTGCCTGCAAGACATGCAGCCAGTATTGGCCTGTTGGGGGCCATACCTTCAAAGAGAAGGCATGGCAAAAAAAACCCTTGGAATGTTTTAGGGCGATACCGAAGCTCCTGCGATGGGCACTACAGAACTTAGGTGTGCACAATACTGAATTAATCTCACTGGAAACACAGGTAGAAGGGTCTTGGAGACCAAAAGAAGGCTTGGACTTAGCAAAACAAGCATCTCAATGGCTTTTGGGGGGTGAGGCAGGTGCACAAAGAGGGATGTGCCAAGGGATGCTAAGAAACGTCACCTGGGATCAAGCAGCAAACACTGATTTATCTTTGCACTTTTCATTGCTGTGGATGAGTTTGTCTTCTGCAGGCAGCATGGGTGGAGATGTGTTGCACCTTTGAATCTGTATCTGATCCACGTACATCTTGTGTATACAGAGGCAGGGCAGTCATTTATGGCTGTGGCCAGGATCAAACCAGCAAGTAGTAGGGGAATTCTGCTCAGTGCTAACTGCACATGGGGATCGTTGAATCTCCAAAGCCCAAGCAAACAGAGGATTCAGTGTGTGAGATTAAAGGATATAAACTGCTGTGAAGCTGGAAGGAAAGGCAGTAACTTCATTATTTCTCCTCTCTGAAGGTCACGGGTGAGCCTTGATCACTGAAAACTCCCCGTAATCTCATTATGTGCCTCTCACTGTTTCAGATCTGGACTAAGTCAAATTTTTACTTTTCTTCCATAAAGGTTATAGTTTTGGGAATTGAAGGTAATTGTGTCATATTTCTGTTTCCCAATTTCCCAACTACATAAGAGAGGACTCCCAAGAAGTGCTGCTACCAAACGAACAGAGGAGGTAATGAAAACCAGAGACTGCTTTTAGAAGGAAAAGGAAGGTTACCTGGTATTTCTTCCCAGGTATCTTGTTGCCCAAGTACTGAAGGAAAGGTTTGGAAATCCTCCAGTCACACTTGTGAGCAGGGAACCCTGGGTCACAAAGTACCCCTCTCCCAGGCATTTAGCATAGGCAGACATGGCAGAAATTGTTTCTTCAGCTTTTGGAGATATGTCATTAACCAGGGCTCATATCCATTGCTATCACTATATGGCAGTGAGGTGACTGCCAAAGGAGACTAAGCAGACCTCAGAAGGGGTCTTGATAATGGCCCTAGGACTAGAAGTTCCTTTCCAGCCTCTTTCAGAGCAGCTCCCACTACAGCAACAAGTAACAGGTAGTGAGTCACCAAGAGATGTGCACTCAGTTCTTGTGTAGTACCAACTCTCGAAAAGAACTTGGACAGGGCTGTCAGTGTGACTTGACAGAAAATACAGTTTGTGTTTCTAAAAATGCTGGGGTTTAATGAAAATCCTACCCTCTGTCTCATGTGCTGCAAGCTACAGGTAAAATACCATAAGCTTTGAGCCTTTGAGTGCTCTCAGCATCCCTTCTTGAATAAATTGCTGGCTTTCAGGATTTCACTGCCTCAGTTTCTCCTCCCTCAGTGCTGGGAGAAAGCCGTATATGTAAATCTCCAGCTTTAGAGGCAGAACCAGTATAACTCTTTATGTACAAAAGGTTGAAGGGTATAAACGCTTTCTGTGTGCTGCATTGATTACTAACCTCATCAAGCTCCCTAGATGCAAACTCAAGGACTTTGGTTATGAAAGGGCTGGAGCAAGCTGTCATTTCATGGCAGGAGATGGCATTGTTTTCATGTCACCTCTCTGCACAGGAAACAAAGGGAAGCACTTAAAATGGAATGGACCCATTTCACAAAGAAAGGGTAGTGACCTTGGGTTCCTTCTATTTAATGGAACCAGGGAAATATCACACCTACTTTTCACACTGGTGATGACAGGCGAGTGGTAGTAATTCCTTGTCTGGTGCTCACAAGGGAAATCAGCTCCCAGGAGCCTGAAACTTAACATGTTCACACCTGTACTGTGCCCAGTTGCTGGCACTTTGAAAATTCAAAGAGCTGAACAACTTGGCATCAGTTTCGAAGTCCAGCACCCAGCAGGTACACCCTGAGCAGCACCTCACACCTTCCTAGCTTTATTATTTTCCACCAAAGCTGACAATAGCAGTTCTGCTGACAGCCAAAGCTCTCTAAACAGGGACTGCTCTTCCTTGCCTTAGCAGAAACAGCTACCTCAGTGTGTGTGTGGGACCTGCAGGGATGTGTTTCAGGAAGAAGTTGTTTGGCCAGCTTTTCAGCTCTCTTTTGGGAAACCCGAATGCTATACCAAACTCTTCCTATTCGAAAAACACGGGCTAAAGGTGATCACTGCAAACTTGTCTGGGGCGGTGGAAGGCAGGCAGTGGGGAAGGTGACATCAGGCATGGTGTCTCCTACAAGAAAGCAGCATCATTCAGCTAAACCTCTTGCAGGCACAAAAGCCATCACCTGGGAAGCAGTGGCTGCTCGGCAAGCTGGTGATTGTGTCTCACGCATCAGCTGTAACCCTTAGACTGCAGCTTATTTCATGGTCCAAGAAAAGAGATTAACCCTATGGATCAGCCGTGTTTTTGGAGAAGCTTGAAGGTATCAGCCTGACTCCTGGGAAGCTTTATATAAGCAGGCAATGGACCTGCAGTCTCCAGAGTTAGCCCCAATATGGCATTTAGGAGATCTGCTTATCATCCCTGCAAAGAGACCTTGCATCACGGCAGGGGGAAGGTTAACTGCTGCTGAAAGCCAACTCATACTTTTATTTCACACACTAAAATACACTGGAGACATATGAACCTTTTTTGCTTTGGATCTGTTATTTGCCTAGACATCTATTTTCATGCCGTGCAGATATACATGACATTGACAGGTGTATCTAGATGGGCTCCTGTGCCTATACCTCTTAAGCCCTAGTGTCATTTGGTAGTAATGCTTTTTGGTAACATTTTGCACTGACTTGAAGGAAAAAGATAGTAGAAAATATGGTTCTAATCCTGGCTGTTGAGCTTTGTGACATCCTTTATGAATTCCAGATAAGTCACTTCTTGTGCCTTGGGAAAATTAGGTTCAGAACAGGAAACTCAGGGCTAGAACTTTTAAAAAGCCAACCAAGGCTATGCAAAAGAAACCCCCAAAACCAAAATGCACCTTAGCCTTCTCCTTCCCTCCCAAAGGAGATCCATGCTCTGTTTGAAACAAATCTATCTGGTTCTAGTTGGGCTGGGGAAGTCTACCTTGCTGCTTATGTGATTTCCAGGTATTTTACGCTCATCTTCCTGTAAGAGCACAGTAGTATAAGACAGCAACACAAAGCATCAGTGACTGGAACCTCAGTTTACAACATTCCAACGTAGTAATTTTGTAGCAAAGAGGTAGAAACTGAATTCAAAGATCTTTGATTGTCCATTGATGCAAGAGGAAAATGGGGCTGGGGGGACTATGGTTCAAGACAAACACCAGCCCTGAGTGTTAACCCCTTCTTCTATTTCAAGGAATAACTTGGGATAGCTTGCTTCATTTCCCTGCCTCAGATTCCCAGACTTTTAGTGAAGACTGAATGTTTTGAGCAGAGGGAAAGCCAAGAATTAGTTTTTGGTGTGTGCAATGCCAGCAGTACTGGACTGGCAATGGGCTGGCAGTCTCTGGAGTCAGCTCCATGGACCCTTATCTGTCTGTGCAGGACCTGGTCCAGATCAAGTTAATTTTCCTCATAGCATCCTGTACAGTGCTGTGTTTTAGAGTGGTGACCAAAACAGTCTTGATAATACACAATGTCTTAGTTACTGCTTTGCTTGCACGATGTCAAGGCCTTCTCCATCTCTCAGTCTAATGCCCCAGACAGTAGGCTAGGCTGGGGTTTATTTTTTTTTTTCTTTCCTTTTCCTTCATTTATTAAACTGTCTTTATGTTTTCCTTACTTTTGCCCTTCTGATTCTTTCCTCCTTCCTGTTTGGCAGGGAGCGGGTAGGGGCTTAGCTGCCTAAGCCAACTAGGGTCCATAGTGTAACAGGCTGGTATTCTTCATGGCTTGGATGCTGATCACAACTGTGCAGTAAGACCTGTGCTGCTGAAATATCAAATCTTACAAGCTTTAGTGAAAAGCTATGGGCTAGAATTGTTCGTAGAAGTGGTAAAGGAAGCAAAATCAAGCAGGTTACACATAAACAGCAGAAGAAACTGTAGCTCATTTATGTTCTGGCTAAATTCATTCTGAATGATCAGTCCAGCTCCAGTTTTAATATGACGCAGCTGCTTTAGGTGGCTGAAGAGTTTAAGGAAAGCCTTGTATGGATGTCCAGCTTACATTGAGACATAAGGGCTGAAATCCAGTGGAATTATCTCAGATTTATGGATGTTTTCCGTATGTCCACTGTTCTGTTACTCACTGGAAGTGCCTTCAGAACCCTGTAAGAATAAAAACCTGTTACAAGCTACTACTTCTCCAACTGAGTCTAATTAAGTTTGAGTTGAGCTGCATTTTAGCTTAGAGCTGGCGAAAAGCAACATATACATTTGCAGGTAAGAATGCTGCTGTTGTGATGTAGGGGGCTGTTTTGTTTTCTCTGGTATTACCTGGGCAGAGAGGGAATCCAAGCTGCTTGCTTGTAATGTACAAAAGAAAACATGACTGAGTTTCAAGGCTGGGTCTTGCCTAAGTGCTGGTCAAGTAATCTATCGAGTGTCCGTCACGAGTGATGTCTCTCATTTTGTGTGTGATTTACATGAAAAAGTGTCCAGACAGGACGCTGCTACTATACAGGGTTAAATTCAATTGTAAACCCAACAAACTATGGAGGAAAAAGAGGCAAAGGAGCATTGAAAGCTTGTATGCAACCAGATACATGTAATGAATGACATTGCAAAATCAGGACTGTTTCCAGGTTGGAAGGCTTTGGAGTCTGTGCATCAGTAGGAATGTGTTTAGGGTGTTTTTAAGAGAAGGGTGAAAAAGAGATCTGAAGTGTAAACAGATTTACTGATTGTAAAGATACTTTTTCCTGCAGCCTCTCTGACCCAAGCTTTCTTACCTTGGGCTGTGAGCTGATTGCAGACAGAAGTATCCTGGCTAACCTGTTGTCACCACTCAAAATGAGAGAAGTGGGAAGAAGCAAACTCCCATCTAAAGGTCAAGGCGATACAAATCATACTAGTTTTAAAATTCCTTAGTTTTACCCTATGTAAGGGAGAGGGCTGCTTTCACTGTAGGGTAATAGTTGTCAATGCTACAGTAGGGAGTCCTTTGCCAGGACACTGGGAGCACACAAAGCACCTTAACGCTGTGGCAGGACCCTCTGCAGAATGACCTGGCCGTGGGCTGCACTTTTAGCCCCAGTGACTCAGAGCTACACCACGGGGTCAGGTTTGTACCAAAGCACCAGAGCAAAGTCCACCTGATCCTCAGTTTACTTACTGAAAAGAGAATGCTGTCCCAGGTGGAATGACACACTTCATTCAGAAGACAGAGGTAGCAATATGTTTATTGATATAAAAGAGTGATTTAACAAAGTCTGTTAGTAAACGCAACAGTGATTTAGCAAGATTTGATGGTAAGGTCCTCTTGAGTATGTACTGCATAAAGGACACAGTGAGGCAAAACTGTCAAGGAGATCCTCCCGTTGAGTCGTGAGGTTCAGAAAGGACCCCCTTGTGTTCTAAACTCCTTCTAAGAAAGGAGTCTTTGTGTGGTTAGATCCAGACTTAGTCTAAGATTTTGTCAACAGTTTATGCCTAAAGAATTATACATGCACAATCAATCCTTTATGTCACTTAGCTAAGATTTCAAAGTTTATCATGCTGATAATCACTCACCAAGGATCTGTTACAGCAAGGAATCTCTCGGCCTCAAGGAGTAAACTGGAGAGGTGTCCCTACTCAAGGAGAGATCCTCGTGTGCAGCCCACTGCTGTGCAGGAATGCTTGATGGGCTGTGGGCTGTCCACTGTTTATGGAGTAAGATAATTGACTTGTAGTCATGTTTGCATATAAACTACAGCAATTAGGGTTTTCTCTAAACTTGGCTCGAGTTGGACCTTGACTGGGACTATGGTTATTGCAGGGTGCGTGTTGCTGTCATTAGCCCTTGGTTATTGCAGGGTGCGTGTTGCTGTCATTAGCCCTTGGCTATTTTCTTGTTATCTGTCTGCCCAAATCCACTTTGAGTCTGATGCAACTATCACAACTCAGGCATCCGCTACCACCACCACTGATGGTTATCGTTTGAGCAGAGTTACAGGAAATAAAGGTCAGGTTTGTATGGGAGCACACCAGCACACACATGCCTCTGCAGGGCTCCTCTGGTCCTTCAGAGCAGCCCTGCTTTTATCAGGTATTAAACATGCACTGCCTGGTCCCAGCTAACTGTGACCATGAAGATACACAATGATCCATATGTCTGTTGTGCAGAGGATCATATAATGGTTTGTGTTGGAAGGGGCCTTAAAGCTCATTCAGTTCCAATCCCCTGCCATGGCTAGGGATGCCTTCCGCTAGACCAGGTTGCTCCAAGCCCTGTCCAACCTGGCCTTGAACACTGCCAGGGATGGGGCAGCCACAGCTTCTCTGGGCACCCTGTGCCAGGGCCTCAGCACCCTCACCCATGTAAAGAATTTATTCCTAATGTCTAATCTAAACCTCCCCTCTGTCAGGTTAAAGCCATTCTCCTTTGTCCTGTCACTTAATGCCCTAGTAAGCAGTCTTCTCCAGGTTTCCTCTAGGCCCCCTTCAGGCACTGGGAGGCTGCTACAAGGTCTCTCTGAAGCCTTCTCCAGAATGAGCAAGCCCAACTCTCCTACCCTGTCTTCACGTTTGTGTCTTTGCAGCAGTCAGATACAGTACCATGCCTCCTTTGCCCAGCGTTGGAGAAGCTGCCTGAGCCTATTTTAATGGAGGTCAGCATCCTGGTACTGTAACGCTGTTCTTGCATTTGTAATGTTTTAGATGGAACAGTGTTAAAAGCACTTTGAGCAGTTCTCATGAATTCTGATCCTGAGCACAGTTTCTGGATCACCCCATAGATATCCAGCCTCTTTTCTCTAGCAGAGATGATTGTTTTCTCTTAATGCAGTCAGACTCAGTGTGTATATGCAGTCACAACCTGATCCAAAGGTATTACTGACATTAGCTCTGATCCTCTTGGGCTATGCCAGCACTATTTGAGTTTTACTGGACTTATCTGCCCCAGGCCACTGACAAGAAGAACACACAGCAATGATCATTTCACAAGAACCAAAAGAACATGCAGCGCTGGGAGGGAGTGCTTCTAATCCTCATCCTGAGGCTACTTTCACCTCCTTACTAATCCTTGGGGAGTTGATCTGGGGAGGGTTGTGGACAAGCTAAAGTGAAAGGGAGCTTTCCTGGAGGTCTGGCAGTGGTGGGAAGTACAGTCTGACACATGAGCTGGTGAAGAGCACTGCCAGTGGGTTCACAAGACACACAATGAGCTACGGAGGTACGACACTGATGCTGATGCAGTGGCTCAGGTGAGACCAGGGACTAACCAAGGACGGTACAAATCATCTGACCATGAAAATGCCTGTTCCAAGGGTGCAAAGAGCCTCTGTGGACCTCAGGTCAGCACTCAGGTCAACACACTCAGGTTTCTTACTGTGACTGGTAACTGATCCAGTGACTGTCTGCCCTGGAATGCTGTAAGGGCTAAAAGGAATCTGCTTATCTACTCACAGCATGTTTTCACTTCCATTAACAGAACCGAGTTGTTCGAGTGGCAATGGGTTATTCAGTGCTTTGTAAGTGAAACCTTGATCTGGACACAGCACATAGATTGGTAATGGGCATTGCTTGTCCTGTCTCTGCAGCTTTGCATTGCCAAACACTTTGTATATTTGCAATGGATCCTCAGCTTGAACGATCACAGCCATCCTCTCTTGAAATTGATTTTCTTCTGCAGAGAGATGTTTGAAGCAAAACCTAATTTGGCTTGTATAAACTACATTAGATAAAAGAAGATATCCCTCAGAGTGTATGAGATCACCTTTGAAGCCATTTTCACCTTACTGTGAATAACAAGTTGCAGAATAAAAGGCATTTCTTACAGCTGATCTGATCTCTACCCATCTGTGAGTTGGCTCTGCAATGAGATAAGCCTATCTACTCTAATTCAGGACAGGTGTACTGTATTTCCCAATCATATTAAAGAAACTCATGAGGTCTGGTGGTGGAACCCAAAGCACATTACTAGGACAAGTGAAACAGCTTTATTTGCTTTGAGGGACCTGCCTTGCAAAGAAAATGCCAGGCTGCTCCTGCTACCTTCAGGAGGCAGCAAGCTGGTTTGTGAGGCTCCACCTGGGCTGCCAGCTGGTAAGTGGTGACTCTGGAATGTCATGCATGCAGCTTGCTTCTCTCGTTGGATAGATTCAGTGTCTTGTATTTTCCTTCTCCCTTCCTCTGTCTGATTTTTCCCTTTCAATGTAGTCCTCAGCTGGTGTCTGTTCAGGTACCTTGGCAGGCAACCTACAGAAAACAACAAAACAGTATGCTTTAAAGGGAAAAGCAGTGAGAGGGGAAAAACAGCACAGCACAACAAAACCATCATCTTTTCTTTCTTTCCTTCTTCCCTCCCTTCTTTCTTCCTCTTCCCTTCCTCCCTATCTCTCTTGGTCTTTTTTATTAGCTTTTCCTGGTGTGTGCTAACATCTAATTTTTAGGATATCTAAGAGGTATCAGGGTTTAGGACACTACTTTGGTACTGGAGATACAGGTGCATTTGCAGTCCTGTCTGCAGTCATCCCCTCTCTTCCCTCAGCACAAGGCTGCCAGCTCCACTTGTGCCAAGCCTGGATATGTTTTGTGGGTCCTGCACTGCTGTTTTCCCTTGGCAGGAGTGCTACCCCCAGACAGGAGCAGATGGACTCCTAGCAGGAGATGTCAATTCAGCTTGTCCCTGAGACAACAGGAAAGACACCGTGGCTGACCAGGGGCTAAGGGACAGAGTGACATTTATAGCTGAGCTTGTTGTCTTCTGTGGCAGAAAGAAAACCTTCTGTTGGTTTGCTTGTATGCAGCTGTGGAAAGGAAAGGTCCCATATTCATGTATCACAATAATTGATGGTAGTTGTCAAAAGGTGCCAGAGAGCGCAAGCATCCGGAAGGCAAAGGAGAAAATTTATGGTGCCTCATCGGGATTTTGTAAGAAGTAACTGGACTGGGGGAAGAGAAAGAGCATGTCCTTAACCTGACTTCAACTTCTTGCATCGTGATAATAGCAGCAGCTGTGGGTGGATGGATGGATGGATGGATGGATGGATGGATGGATGGATGGATGCAAAGGGACTACACACCATCCAGTCTGTGTTTTAAAAGGTCAGCCTTGATCTGTTTTAATGTGGAGCAATGAGGAGTTTCTAAATCCTGCGTGCTCCAGTGTGCAGGGCTGTGCTGGGGCCTGGGGAGCTCCTCTCCAGAGGCTTACAGTGATAGCTTGTGGAGGATATCAGTGGTGAGCTGTTCATGGCCTGGGTATTCCTGGCATGACGTGCCTGCTCCTGCAGGCTGATGCCAACCTCAGTAATTCCAGTGGGAACCCATTTACCTCTGGTGAAAGCCCAATGGAGTGAGAAGCCAGGTCTGTTCAGGCAGTTGGAAGTTGTTCCTTGGAGGCTGCTCTTTCTAGGGCACTTGGCTGTCTGGGGCATCCTGCAGCTTACTTGTTGGCATATTATCAGCTAATTTAAATTACTCAAATAAAGCCCTTCTCAGTGTGTGAGACCAAGGGATGTTAGTGGGCATGGTGGCAAGGAAGGCTTTTATGATCCACTTTGCAAATCCATATCCTCAGGAGCTACTGAGGCCAGATTTGAAGGTAATACAATTTTATTGTTTACCCCCTCTTTTTCTTTCTTTCTGGTAGCGAATCAAGGAAAAAATTGGAGCACTCAGTTCATTCTTCTGAAGCCAAGAGTGTGGCTGCAGGCTCTTCACTCAGTAACACAAAGGGATTACAACTCAACACCAAGTAGCCCGAGAGAAGTACGAGCATGGATGTAGAGTGGTCCTTTGCTGTAGACCATGTGGATCCCTTGCATACGTGCCTTGAAAGAGCATCCCAAGCCTTAGGAGCTATTAATAATGAAATCAACTAATAATAAGATCTGCAACACAAAGAGGAAACTAGCCAGTATTTTGTTATGGGCAGACAATGAGCAGACCAGCAGGGGACACGCTGATCGTGTCTGATTCATGTTGTCTCTATAATCGCAGCTAAAGTTTTAACATCCCAGGAAGATGAATTACCCACTCTAACCACCACACGGATCAGCAGGGGGTTTATTAGAAGCAGGCTATCATTTAACAATGTCAGGAGTGTATTTATTATTAAACAGTAGATTCCACAGTCTAAATGGAAAGATATTACTCCTGTTTAGACACCAAACAAGGTACCTTCATAAAGCCAAATGGCCAATATATTGTATGCTTGCATGAACACAAATACTGTGTCCACTTTACTGGACCTCAGGGCTTTCGATGTTTAGCTGGAGGCAAATAAACTGAAGTGTTTAAAGCTATTGGAGGACAAAGCTATACACATGTTCGTTTTGATTTTCAGAACTCCCTACTGACTTCACCCCAGTGACTTGGTGAGAAACCAGAGAGGATTCTGGGTTCCCCACTGAGGTGTTGGTTAAAATTGATTACATGTGGACCATGGTACAAACAAAATACACATGAAAAGTCTCTGCTAGCAGCTAGGCTGCTTTCTAATATGAACAGTGTGTTTTCAGCCCTAGATAGTGCTTAGAGTCCTTCTCTTTTTCTCAAGACCAATGTCCTTGTCCATAGGAAGACCAATCAGTTAAAATGTATGGTAATACACAGCAAACACTCTGGTTTTATTTATCGCTACATTAAGCTACCCAACATGGAAGCATAAATAATATAGTTCCTGTAAACTAACACTTAATGTAGTAATATTTCAAGCCACATTTGTGGGAAAGGCTTGGTGCTGGCCATGTTTTCAGTCCAGCTTTGCAAATCCAAAGCATTTCTGTAGGACAACAAAGATACAATACTCTCAAGCTATAGCACAGCCAAACTGCCCTAAGCGTTTCACAGTTCGCTATTGCTGCACAATCAAATGTCAATCACAGCAATAGTCTTTGGTTTAACCATAGAACCATAGAATAGTTAGGGTTAGAAAGGACCTTAAGACCATTTAGTTCCAACCCCCTGCCATGGGCAGGGACACCTCACACTGTGGGAGTCACTGGGCACAGCCACCTGATTGATGTGTCTGTTGACATTTGGGAGCTGCCTCAACTGGCTTTGAATATGGCAAAGCAAACCTTCCCTTTGTGATTTATGAGGCCTTCTCAGCTATATTTTCAACCTAACGGTTCTGATGGGAGATTCTTTGAGATATGGCAAAGTGGATTTTCAGAATTCAGAAGCAGAATGAGCTGAGAGGTGGGGCAGACATGGAGCAAACAGAACAGACTGACTGTTATTGACTTTCACCTTTACTTAACAGCTCTCTGGGAATACCCAATTTCTGAAGTTTAAGCAATATTATACAAATTTCTTTCAAGTTCATAGTTTCACTTTCAATTAATTGCCTTTATTTCTCAAATTAAGGATTTGTGAATACACTAGACTGGAGCTGCGACATGTAGCTATACAGACTTAATGCTGTTCTTTAAAACTGCTCTTCATAGAATCATAGAATAGCAAGGGTTGGAAAGGACCTTAAGATCATGCAGTTCCAACCCGCCTGCCATGCGCAGGCACACCTCACACTAAACCATGTCACTCAAGACTTCGGCCAACCTGGCCTTGAACACTGCCAGGGATGGAGCATTCACAACCTCTCTGGGCAACCCATTCCAGTGCCTCACCACCCTTACAGTAATGAACTTCCTCCTTATATCCAATCTAAACTTCCCCTGTTGAAGTTTTAACCCATTACCCCTTGTCCTATCACTACAGTCCCTAATGAAGAGTCCCTCCCCAGCATCCTTATAGGCCCCCTTCAGATACTGGAAGGCTGCTATGAGGTCTCCACGCAGCCTCCTCTTCTCCAGGCTGAACAACCCCAACTTCCTCAGCCTAAAAAAAAGGTTGCTTTGGTGAAGTTGCTTTGTGAAAAGTAAAGTGAACCAGTTGACTTTTCTGGTGCTGTTTCTTGTCATGCATTTGGAAGGGGACATACTAAAATGTGTATTTGAATTTATTGGGAACTGAAGCCAGACTTTGCCCCTGTCTATATGGGGCGTAATACCTGCTGTTGGTCTAGGGCATGGATCTGACTGGTCTTGCTATAGCAAGACTTTCAGATAGCTTTACCTTCAGTGTTCAATTTGCCCAGTCAAATTTAAAGTCCTTTTGTGTTTCATTGCTGTTGCCATCAGCTACTTCTTCTGATGAACACAGTCTGTCACTGTTCCCTGAATTACCTGTAACCATTATCCATGATCAAGTCATAAAGCGGATTTGATATCGTCTCAACAGGAATGATTTTCATCTAGGCATGATGAATACCTCTTGCACTCCAATAGCTTGGATTTAAGCCATGCATAATTTTTGCATTAATTATATCATTACTGTTTAATTGCTGCAATTAGCAGCATCTCTTTCCCTGAGACATCACTGTCATTATATGGCCTCTGCATTGGAACAGGCTCTCAATTCTGCAGACTCCCACCTGTTGGGGCAACCTGTGCTGATTCTCATGTATGGGAAGTCCACACAGAAAGTAATTACATGGTCCCCAAATGACAAGTCTGATTGTCTTCTGCAATATAACTGTAAGCAAGAAGGAAGAGTTTCTTCTGAGGATATTGAAAACCTGTGTTCGGTTGACCAAAAGAAAGAGTACCTGAGCTGCTACCTCATCTTTGTGAAGGCACCTAAAACCCTGCAATGTGAGTATAAAACGGTGCTTCTCTGAAATGGTCATTTTCATATCCTCTTTGTGCAGCTTCAGATGGTTACCCAAAGTAAAGAGAAGCTGGAATCAGGCCTCAAACTGAATTCTAAGGAGCTTTATAAACTTGTGTGTCACCATGATAGTAAGTGCCACCTGGCAGTGATATGCATGTTGTTAAGGCTGGGAAATGAAGACCAGGCGGGGAGTGGGTATCAAGAGGGAGAGTGATGCTTAGGTAAGTGTGACCACACTCTTCAAAAGTACTATACAGAATCATTAGGGGTGAAAAAGACCTCTGGATATCATCTAGTCTAACCCCCCTGTCAAGGCAGAGACACCCTGAGCAGGTTACACAGGAATGTGCCCAAGTGGGATTTGAATGCCTTCAAGAAGCAGACTCGAGACCCTTTATAGCTGGTCACATAAAGCAGAAAGGGGT